ATTAGGTAAAAAGTTAGAGGGGGTGGAAGGGACTTTTGGATCACCCTGTATACGGCATAATTCTATTTCCACGCACGTAGACCCTCGAAAGCTTTGAGTTATGAAGACAACACGACCGTTCTAAGTAAAAACGCCGAATGAGCCATTAGGCGTTGCCTAATTTCCTTGAAAAATCACGAATTCTTAGGAATATTTGTGCATATTTCTCTCCCGATTTTTCAGAGGATTTCGTTCGTAATTTGATCTAAAAATTCTTAAATTTCAAGGAAATATATTGATAACTTTCTTCAAAAATAAATATTTTCAAAGAAGAAATTTGGCAACATTCGGATGCTTATACAACGTTTTTACTTAGCACGGCAGAACAGGACTCATGTAAAAATTTATTTACGCTCTTAGATTTCAGCAAAGTGGCGAGACGTCATCTGATCAGGGAAGTGTATAGCGTCATGATGCTGATGAACAGTTTTAATTTATTTGATAATGCAATTGCCGCCTTTATCTAAAAATCTCAGAAGTAGATATAAATGATCAAGTGGACTATTACGGATTAGAATATTTAAAGTTCACCTAGGTAATCCATTTCGTCTTCCAGCCGATCAAAATGTGCCCATCCAAAGTTTTCGTAAGTTATCAATTGTTCTTTAGAGACCCTTCATGAGTATAAAAATCGGATCCCCCCCCCCCTCTCGTAAAGCAAAGGGTATCCCGGGATAAGCATGTCAAAATGCCCTTGTGAACGGATTTTTATTTTAACCATTTTAAGTCATCAAGGGTGTCCTAAAACTTAGGTTTTGGGGAATTTTAGCCCCCCAAACCCCTCCGCCCTCCCTCAGCTATTTTTGACTATGCTAACGTCTTTTCCTCATAACTTTCGTAATTTTCGTTAGAATTTAGTCGAAATTTCGTGTCGATCAGAGTGGTGCGCAACACCCGAACACGCCGTTTTCTTGTTAATTTAGTTGCTAGAATTTGCCAGTACTCAGTGCACTACTACGTATAATTGAAGTTTGGAGGAGGAAACGCTTCTACGTGGGGGATGAGCGAGCATCCCTAGTGTCATATAATTCCTGGGAGTTCAGAGGTTTCGCTGAGTGATCGGGTCTGCTACGCGGTAGGGTGCCAAAATGAACTTTGAAATGTGCATCATGCACTTTTCAAGCGGGCTCGTCGCTGACATACAGTGATAATGAATGCCAAAATGAGAATTTTGGGAGGTTTCAGGTTAGAATACGGCGTGTTCCGGTGTCGCGCACCACTCTGATTGACACGAAATTTCAACTAAATGTACTTATGTGTCTAATTTATGAGGTAGGACAATAATATGGGATGTCCCTCTTCTTATTTTTTGACACGGAGTGATAATGGGTTCCGAATTCAGCCGAAATGGGCGATTTGGCCGTTTTGAGGTTAGAAAATTGCGTGTTTGGGTGTTGCGCACCACTCCGATTGACTCGAAATTTTGGCTCAAGGTACTTAAGTGGATCACTTAAGAGGTGAGATGATAAAACCGGATGTCCCTCTTCTTATTTTTTGACACGGAGTGATAATTGGTGCCGAAATGGGCAATTTGGCCGTTTTGAGGTTAGAAAATTGCGTGCTTGGGTGTTGCGCACCACTCTGATCAACTCGAAATTTTGGCTCAAGGTACTCAAGTGGGTCACTTAAGAGGTGGGACGATAAAACCGGATGTTTCTCTCTACATATTTCTCCACGCCTAGTCATCAAAGGAGGCTATGGTGGCATTTTGGCCGTTTTGAGGTTAGAAAATTGCGTTTTCAAGTATGGCGCACCACTCCGATCAACACGACATTTTTTCTGTATCTTATTGGATGTATAACTTAAGAAAAGAGGCAATTTTTGTTTGTGTCCTCGTTTCCATACGTCACCTATAGCGCGAAAAAAGGAAAGAAATGATTTTTTTTGAAAATTTTACGAATTTTTTTAGAAGCTAAAATATTATCCGATGATAATGAATTTTTTTCTACAAAAACTAAGCTAATTGATGTAGATTCTGACAAGTTTTGGTTCAATTCTAACGAAAATTACGAAAGTTATGAGGAAAAGACGTTAGCATAGTCAAAAATAGCCCCAAAAAGCGGTTTTTGGGGGTCTGAGGGGGGGCGGAGGGGGTTGGGGGGGGGGCTAAAATTCCCGAAAACTTAAGTTTTAGGACACCCTTGATGACTTAAAATGGTTAAAATAAAAATCCGTTCTCAAGGGCATTTTGACATGCTTATCCCGGGATACCCTTTATACCATTCTGAAAAGGTAAAAAAAATGCTGAGAGATTTGTTCTTCTCTTGATGTTTTTTTATTTGTAAAAAAGATAAACAGAGGCAGACAAAAGAAGTAAACAAAGGTATAATATAAGAGATCCGATTTTTTTAGTGTGTAAGGTAGGTTTGGGGTGTGTGTCTTATGTGTGAGTTACATGAACATAGTGTCAGGGTTGGTCTGCAGTCAAAAATAGCTTAAAATTGTGTATAAGGTTTTTACAAATTTCTTTAATGCACTTTTATAGCCCACTTTCAAACAATTAGCCATGCTAGTCGATTGGTTTTCCAAATGTATTATTAACGTGGAAGATAACAATTTAGGAGGATTTATAATTCGACTAGAGGCCTGAGGCCGCTACGCGGCCGCCATCTACTAAAGAAAGCTACACGTAAAAAATAATAGAACAGCCACGTTCGAGTTATTCAAGAGATGAATGGATTCAAAAGCCAAAGAGTGCATGCTAAAGAAAGCATATTCGTCTCTGATTGCAAGGTTGTGTACCAATTGTTATGATTTATTTTTGTACAACGTTTTTAAAAAGCTACACACGGTTTTTCCACGAATTTTCCTACATGATCTCAAATATAATCATCGAAAATGTAGACGCGATATTTTCGCTCATTCTATTTTCTTTTTATGTAACAAAACAAAAAAATTAAATATCCTAAGAGTTTTTGAATCTTTACAATGAGGACACATATTTTCCCTTTACTTATGGTACAAACCGGCGCAGAGAAGCAAGAATGATGACACGTAATCCTAGTTTAACGGCGACTTTAGCGTCGCGCGAGCTAGGGAAGGGAACGCGGTGGAGTTATCTCTGCAGTGCGACGCGCCTTCCATTCGGCTAGCAGCAATATGCCTACACCCATGGTCGAATAATTATCTCGTTACGCCTGCCGTAAATGAAATAAAAAATCGACGCCTGCACGCGAAACAAAGTGTTCTTATCTTTGATTGCAACGTTGCAAATCCGTGCTCATTTTTTTAAGTTTTCAACCTTCAAAAAAAAAAAAAAAAAAAAAAAAAAAAAAAAAAAAAAAAAAAAAAAAAAGCTACACACAGTTTTTGTAGAAGTTTCCGAGGAATTCCCGGAATGATTTAAATTAAAATCACAAAAAATTTTGACGCGATATTTCCGTTTTTTCCGTTTTCTTTTTATTAAACCAAAATTAATTTTACGCGAATCAAGTTTCAGAATCGCTGCATCGTTTAAGTGTCGTCCGTGCTGCTGATTCGTTGCAATTTAGATAATTATTTACCCTCTAATGGACCACTAGACAAGGTACGAATTTAAGCAATCTGATACATGTTTCTTAACCAGAATTTCACGTAAAACACGATTCGCGCAACGAAAATTACTGAAACTTACTCCTAACGAAGATATTATCGTTTTTATTTCACATTGGTTACGAGGAATTTGAACTGCCCGCTCTCAAGAAACTCAAAACTCTACGTGAGTCAAATCGCTCACTACAACGGTTTCAGAAAGCTTCTCAATCGAGCAATGTTCATTTACCACCATGTGTTGTTCAAACTATAGGTAAGCAATTTGCTATAGCTGAGCCAAAGCGTCAAGATTGAGGTTGCCAGATTTTTATATAGCAGAGACTGTCATAATAACATTCAGCGCGCGATGTGAATCACGTAGAGAATTGAGTTTTCATGAGCGGGTGGTTTGAATTCACGTATCAAGAATCGTTAAATATCTTTGGAAGGAGTTGAATTCGGTAATTTTCGTTGTGCGCATCGTATTCTACGTGAAATTTTAGTTACGAATCATGTATCAGAATGCTGAAATTCGTACCTTGTCTAGTGGTCCATTGTGGCAATAACCGGGCAGGGACCGTCGAAAGAAATGACGCGTGGGCCTAGTTTTGCGGCGATTTTAGCATCGCGCAAGCTAAGGAAGGGAACTCAGTCGAGTGTCGAGTCATCTTCATAATGTGATGCGCCTTCAATCCAATTAGCGGCATTGTGCAACCTATACCCGCGGTCGAGTAGTTATCGCAAATAAATCTCGCATTGCGTTTGGTGCAATGCGAGAAGTATTCATGCAATCTTGTAGGCGCTAATGCGCGTTCGACGCCGACCGCACTATTTAGCGCAATGCGGAAAGTATCCCTACGGTCTTGCAGGCGCTTTGACACCGACCGCACCGTGTTCGGCGCGATTATTCGAACTCGCGTTGGGATAATCGTGGCATCGAAAAATGGGGCTTAAAAGGCCCAAGTTGTGTTTCGACGCCGCCGTATGAACAGTCCAAAGTTGCCTCGTTTCTTCCGGAAACATTTTTTCTGAGAAAAGTTAGGAAAGTTTTCTATGTTCGCTTTTTTAGATTGAATGGACCATTAAACAAGTTAAGAATTTAAGCACTCTGATACGAGATTCCCCAACAGTTAGGATATCATTGTTGCCTTTTGGTGTTCACACCGTGAGCCTGCATGCAATCTTGGGATCGAAAGATTGTGGAAATTTTCCAGCTTTTTGTTTACTTATTTTTTTCCAACTTTTAAATGAGAAAGTTTAGTTAGTTAGTATATTTTAAGACATTCAGCGTCATAGGCTATTAACGTCTTTACAAAGAATTTTGGAAATGGGAGTACATACGAAAATTTTGATGTTTGAAGAAGCTAACTTTATTGCTTGAAATATATACAGAACATTCTGCCGAAGGAGAAGAAAATTTCTGATCATTTTAAATAAATTGCGTCGCGTGTGGCAGGGAGCCTGCTTCTGCAACATTGCAAAAAGCGAACCGTGGCTTCGCACTTTCATCATCGCATTATTTATATATCTTTCAAACTTGATCTCTGAACTTCCTATTGTGCGAAAATTATGCTTTTTTACGTGAAATTTTGAGGTACGCTTCTGCCAAAAATCCATCATCCACGGCGATTTCCATGACAACAACCACCTCGGGCCGCAGAACTATCAGCTGATCGAAAAAAAAGCACCCGAAAATATTGAAAAACCACGCATCCGGCCCGGCGGTTCGCGCTGAATTTTGACGTAAAGGATAGGGCTTACGGAATTATATTGGACTGCATTTTGCAATTTGGAACTATAAATTCTGGCTCTTCTAGAAAAACACTTATGTGCATAGAGAAACTAATGGCACATACGTTGTTTTTAAACCGGGCTATAGAATTCATAGTTCCATGATGATTGTTAGGCCTATAATGAGCTACGCTGCAGTGCTGAAGAAGAACGTCGTATGAATATTTGAGCGTTGCCAAATTGTATCGGACACTGAAAAAAAAAACACATTGGATCTAGTGTCCAGACTCTTAAAAACATCGACAAGAAAAAATACTCTTGATTCAATCAGATTTAAGCTTAAATCAACAACCAATCCTCTTAATTTGAGCGGATTTCCTTTTGATGTAAGCTTAAATCTGATTGAATCAAGAGTCCTTTTTCTTGTCAATGTTTTCTCTGGACTCTAGATCCAATGTGTTTTTTCCAGTAGACGAAACACGTATTTGTAGAGAAGGTATTGCATTTTACACCTTAAACTCTCAGATATTCTAGATTAAATTGCGAACAAAATTGTCTGAATCATTTGAAGAAAAATATTCAAAATTTTCCCAGTTTAGTTTTTTATTTAGGGAGATATGGCAACGTCTAAAGGTTAGTACGTCGTTCTTCCAAGCAAACCGGTTATCTTGGAAAACTCCTCTGTTTTATTTGTTTTGATCCATGCTTGTTACATTTTCATGTTCAGGTCATCTTTGCCTTCGTTTTTGCGGTCATCCTCGCTCAGTTTGCAATTGCGGAATCATCAGGGTTATTCGATGTTGGTCTGGATGAAGAAGAAGTAAAAATAAATGATGACCAGAAACCATCAGTGTCATTTGCCGGAGGTTTCAATGAATCGCCAGGTGCAAAAGAAAGAGCGAACGAAATATTCTCTGGGAAGTTGGGCAAATGTGCCAAGGAGAACTCACTATGCAACCGAAAAAAATGCTGTCCCCACCTCAATTGCGTACGAAGTGAATTATTCTATTTTTGGTCTTTTTGTCGAAAAGCGTGATAAAGAAATGAATACTCAAATAAAACAATCATTAGCATTATAATTTTTCTCCTCGTTCTCTTCTTTTTGAGCTCGCCCACTCGGGAGAGCTCTTTGCGATCGATTTCTTTTAGCATTGGTAGTGTCCGTGGCGACGAATGGATGGTTCTCGTTGCCGTCGGAGGAACGGCCAAAATCCCATTGATTTCAAGGTCTAAAAGTTGAATTTTCGCGGGTTACAGTTTTCCTCCGTCGAACATTTCCGTTCCCTCATTCAACTGAGGATTAATTGTTCCTCGTTTGCTACACTAGAGAGCAGCACTTTCCAGTGGCCGAGCATATCATAGCATGTTGCTATGGTTTTATATCAAATAACCTAATTGTATGTTATCATCCTCTTATCTTTTCAATGCAGTTTTTGTGTGCAGTTGTACTTGCAATTGTTATTATTTCTTAAAATAAAAAACATGGTGACCTCGACGTGATTTAATAATTTGTTCAATTAATTTTAAGTTACTAAGACTAAGATTGAGATTTGCGCATAATTAATGGATAATCCTTAAGATTGCCGTTATTGGTACCATAGAAGGTTAATTAACCTCAAAATAATTGCATGCTTGAGAGCTCGGTTGAGACTCGCATTGGGATCCTTTCAGAGTTTGTTTAAACCTCATATTAAGAATGCTTTAGGATTCGTTTGAGCCCCTCGCATCAAGAATGCTTGGGAATTCGTTTGAGCCTCGCATTTAGAATGCTTGAGAATTCGTTTGAGCCTCGCATTGAGTTTCTTTAGAGTTCGTTTTAACCTTAAAATACAGATGCATGAAGTGCTCTTTCGAGCTCCGTGCTATTTATAGTGCGCGAGGTGCTCCATTGAGCCACCCCATACCTACAAAGGCGTGATGTGCTCCATTGAGCCACTCGCATACAAAGGCTTGAAGTGGTCTCTCGAGCTCCACGCTAAAATTCAAGTGAATTCCTTTTCAGCTCTTAGTGTATACCATAAGTATTGTGTAAGAATTATGGCAGAAACGTTCCTCCAAACCGTGCTAAACTCTGAACCGTTTGAACTCTGTGCCGATAAAAATTCAGAATTCCAGACTGCCAGCTTAACAAAGTATAACCTTAATTCAAGTTGGCGACTTGATTTAAAAAAAAAAATTAAAATTAAATCATATGATTTCATTACATTGTTGACAAGTTAAGAAAAAGCTTATCAACGATGAAAGCCAGAAACAAAAATGCGATGGCAAAAATAGCCATTGCAACATTTGCCGCAAAATCACATTCATAAAAGATAATTCCATTTCTCTCTCTTTATTTCTCTTTATTTATTGTAATGTGAAAAATTTGTCATATGAAATTACGTCATAACATTTTGCATCGGCATGTAACCTCTGATAATTGGGTAAAGATTCATTTAATACATATACAATTTCAGAAAAAATCATTAATAGTTGTTAATAGTTTCCCAAAGGCGAGCTCTCCAACACAGTAGTGTTGGAACCAGCAGCTTGTTTTACATTGACCGAGGCACAGTGGATCGAGTCGATAGGAGAGGTCGGACAAAATTCGGAACCTTTAAGAGCTCAAAACTCCGTTTATACAAAATGTTGAGGTTCTAAAAGTGGTTCCATTGGTTTTCTCTTAGAACTTGCTACTAGAGGCACCCCTTTAAATTTAAAATGTGACGAAATAAACATCGAAATTTGCAGTTTAGTTTAAGTCACAATTTTTATGTCCGGCCTCTCTAATTGACTCGATCCACTGTGCGAAGCGTAGATGATCAATGTTGTATTGGCCTTCTAAAATACTGCCATTTTTTTGTTATGACTGCTCGTTTATTTGTTCATGTACTTGTTATTCCGTTCCTTTTACAGAGAAATACAATCAAATACAGAGAAATATACAGTCAAAGTTTATAATCTTTAAATTTTAGACGCGAAAGCGATCTCATAATAACTTGGATTTTCAGTTAGTATGTTTCAGCGCTTTATCAACTCATCCGGGCCGTTTAATTTGAGGATTATATTTCGGATCGGATTTTCCCCCTTCTTTTTTTTTTGAGGGTTTTCTCTTTTTCTATCTGAGGGAAATCAAAGAATTATAGACTTGAATGAAACACTAAAATAAAATTTTGCGTTATACCTCGGAAAAATCACGGCAAATTTTAAAGTGTCCATATTCGTTTACATGTACAAAATTGGCAGTGAAAAACTCGCAACGTCGCAAATTCAAGTATAAATGTTGTTTACCTCATCGTTCAGTGATGAGGAAATGTGTGATCGCCAGTGGCGTGGCGTCCTCTACGAAATATTGATTGATCTACCATTTAAACCTATGGAAAAGGATCGACATGCGGAGTGTTCACAACGAACACTCTGATAATCGATTCTTTACCATAGTTTTAAATTTGGAAATATCGATAATCGATCATTCACGCCTCGTCACTGGTGACCGCGAGCTCTCGCGCTAGAGTGTTATAACAGCGACAAACGTCGTCCTTCGCCATCCAGTGGAGGCAAAGCGTTTTAAGGCGCTGTGAGCAACTATTCTATCCCGGAAGTATTGCACAGTATCAGGCGAAATTGAAGGCGCACTAACATACGAAAACAGACCGATACCGTTCATTACTGTCTTGAGTCCTACTCACGTGTCGGTGAAACGAAAGGTATGCTGTTACCCGTGACAAACTGTTCAGAGAAAGTATTACAAAACACAAGTCCAGCCGTGATCCGATTATTGAAATTGATAGACAGAGCTATAGACAACGAAGATTAAGAGACGCTGGAGTGATCTGATTGGTGTAGGCAGATGGTTGCGTTGGACAAAATGAGGTAGACTGACTAGGCACCACTATGCCGTGGCAACTGACGAGAGAGGAGAGGCCCTACTGGTAGCTTGTCCATAATTTTCCTATTTAGTCTATGTGAGCCACCCGTTCCAACCAATGAGATCGCTCCATTTTCCCTGTGTCGTCTTCGTCAATAGCTGTGTCCATTAATCATTTGATTTCAATGGTCAGCCCCCGATCGGTGTTTACGGTAAAATTACGTGAGGAAATTAAACGTGGAATATTCAAATTTGAGCTGCCCGACGTATTCATTGAAGCTTAAAGAAACGCAGGAAAATTGTTAAAATGAGTTTGACATTTTGATAAGTTTCCCTCCCCTCATAATTTACAGGTCTCCGAGAAGGAGACTATCCCGCAGTGGATAATTCTTTTCTTCAAAATCTTGGATAATGAGACGGAAAAAAAAAAAATATCTCGAATGATTGTGTGGATTGTGGCTTTTTGCAAAATTGCAAATAGCGATTCATGGTTCGTTCATAGGCGACATCAGGGGGAGCTCTCCCCCCCCCCCCCNGATCAACCCGAAAAGAAGGAGACAGAACAAGGGGAGCTGGAAGAAAGGAAGGAAGGAAGGAAGGGAGGAAGGAAGGAACGGAGGAAAGGAGAATGAAGATCGCTTAGATTTAATATTTAAGTATTCTTTACAAAATTGACTCAAACTGCATAGTTCAATTTATTTAATGTTTCCAGTTTCAGTGTAAGATGCGCACTAAAGCGTGCACAACTGATCCAAAATTGTTCGTCTACAAATGGCTAGTCTTCATAATATGCGATCAGCTTTCCCGTGAGGTTAAAATAGTGATGTGAAAATTCACTTGCGGTGACAGTATATCATCATGCGACGTACCGGAAACGGAAATCTACTGGCCGGAAATCGAGAACAGGAAAATAGGCGGGAAGTATCAGCCAATCAGAGCCAAGGTCGCCGCATTCTAACCATCAGCCAATCAGAGCCAAGGTCACTTTCCTCCCTACCCCCGCAACCCAAACGTAAACAAATTGAGGTTAGGTTAGGATGTAAACATGTAAACAACATCAACATGTTTCATTGATGTCTCTGTGTTTTATGCAAGAAATCTCTGTGGTTGTACTATTATACGTTTCCAACAAATATTCCAAATCCCGCAGCTGTGATTGGAATATTAGGATAGCCGTGATAACCGAATTAAGATGTGTATGAAATCAGTTCTTGTCAAGGGTTCAATTTTGATCTGGATCTCCTGATGCATAAATCTATCCTAGATGCAGTTCAATCAGTCATCATGAAAGATAGTGGTAGTAAGGTATATTTTTTTGGTTATTTTAATAACTTAAGTTAATTTTACATAATCTGACCAACTGCCCGAGTTCACCTGATGGAATTTTATGTTGTGTTCTGGATTCATGTTAGAGAAGACGGTAGTTTTTTACCCTCCGTGTGCTGGTAACTTTGCTGCTGCTATCCAACATCAACCGAAGATTGAGCCTGTATCGTACCATTAAAGTAGAGCTCTCAAAGTGGCGTCTTGTGGGGTTAAGTGACACTCAGTAGCCCTCAAAGATTTTTGGGAAGACGAGCTTTGAGGGTCTCGTGACGTCTCGTTAAGAGCTCTACTTTGCTTGTATGGTACGCGCTTTGACAAGAGTCAACAATGCAGGTGCCTGGATCAGTGTATTGAGCATGACGATCAAAAGTAAACCACCGCCAATTCATCTGATTTGAGTTATTCCTTTTAATTCGTAACGTTTTCCGAGGGCTCCAGAAAGCTTACCAGCAAAATCTGCTGAAATGTAGTAGAAGTAGATAAAGACTACTGTTAGAACTGGAGAAAAGAAAATAACGGACAAGTGTCACATTAGAAATTAGCACTACTCACCATAAATTTATGTGGTACTTAACCAATGGGTCAACAGATGATTGATGCATTCGTAATGGTGTGGCATTTGGACGGAGCTTAGGGCGTTAAACTTAGAACAGGGTGGAGAACAAATAGACCATGTTTAGCGAAAAGGAACCAAGCCACATAAGCTTTTGCCAAATTGAAAGCAGGAATTCAATTTTTTACAAGAAACGGTTTGTGCAGATTCTTTGAAAATTTTATTGAATTTGCTTCGTACTATGCTAAAACTTCGCTAAAATTTGCACAACTGTTTTCATGTAAAAAATTCAATTGCACAATTAAATTTAGCAATAACTGATTTGGCCTGGTTCCTTCCTTCTAAACACGTTCCATTTGTTCTTCTTTTTCCCCCAGTTCTATGTTAATTGACAGAACCTAACATTGAGGAAGTACTTCGACGGTTTATGTCGGAAATCACATAACTTGGTTAGCGACGTCGCAGACTTCCTGTCCTACTTTATTTTTCAAACGGGAAACTACTCAACGGCAATGCTTTCAAACTGCCATGATTTTTCTTCTCAGTGCGAGGAAAATTCTGCAAAAACTTCAAGAAATGCTGTCAATTTGTTATCCTTTAAAAAAATGACATAGAGGCAAAGATTTTCAGACACTGCCAGCGAGTTATGCGATTGCCAACTTACAATGTTGACTTGTAAAAAATGAAGGCTTGGAAAACTTAACCTTTCTGCAAGCCTTGTAAAGTAGAGAAATAAAAGCACAAGAAATAAATTATTGGCCTACGATGCCATTACCTAGATCATTCCTCATCAGTGAATGAAAATCCTTTGTTTTATGGAGGCATACCAAAAAGGAGTATTATTGTTAATAAAAACTTGGGGCGTATTTTTGCAAAAAGAAAAAAAAAACTATGGGCTCCGTTACGTAACTAGTGTGTAAACTCAGTCTACAAACTAATTTTCACTTTATGAAATGATTTCCTAATTTCAGTCGCAGCAGCAGTGGAATCCAAGTGGAAAATAGTTAACATCACAGAAAGTAGCTGCTTCTCAGGTTCGTCTTCATCATGGAAAAGTCAAACGAGAAATCTTCCTGCACATCTCCAGGTGAGAGTATTTCAGTCAATTATATTCAGCTGTTGTCCTTGAAAATCTAAGGTCTTCGTTGACAGTTTAATATCAGCTTTCTTGGAGAGAATATTATTTACATCGTCTTACTAAATCTGGAGGAAGTTGCAGTAGGTCTTCATCTGAAGTGCCAATTTTGGGGAAAATGCGGCTTTTTTGGCATTGGACCGTGAACCCACAATTCCCGCATTTTTTGCCAAAATTCGCCTACACACCCATGTTTAGGCCAGTATCAGACCAAAAAATGACTTTGTTTTCATGCATTCTGTGAAATCCGAGACCTTCAATCAGCGAAAAGTTGTGATGTTGAGAAAATTCAGGGTGGGCCCAAAAACCGTCCGTATCATTGATAACCCTCCTTTGTCTATGACATCTCCCAGCACACAATTTTTGCTCATCTTATTTGTGCTCTTATTACTATTAGCTTCAATCTTTGATTATTTTTCAAAGATATTGCAATGTTTGTGCTTAACATAATCAACCTTGTTTTCAGATGCCAAAGTTCGAGTTTTGCACAAAAAGAAATTTGAAAAACTGGATGTTTGTTATGATCCATTGATTGCGGGAAGCATAGACGGCACTGACACCACACCGCATGACAATGCCATAGTCAGAGCGATGAATGCGAAGTATCGACCGCGAAAATTTGAAGATGGAAACCCTTATACAACCATATTTGTCTGGAAACTGCGTCCAACTGTAACAGAAACTTATCTTCGTGAAGTAGGTGTTTTATCAGCATATCATCCAGTAAATATTTTCAAGGTCTTGTCCACACAAGCGTCGATCGCGGGACATTGGGCAAACTTCCTCCTGAAACTTATGATAACTCAGCTACAACTTAATCTGCGAAACATCAATGCATTAAAATTTTTCGCCCAAAAGTTCCACGTAATGCACTTGTATGAACAAGGCTTTAGCCATGTGAAGCCAGAAACTTCTGACCTCATAACCGGGCTGAGAAATGGAGGAAACTCTCTGAGAAGGAGAGTAAATGGACGTATTTCTGTCAAACGGAACCATGTGCATTATTACGTGAGCCCTGTTCAGCATGATGTATTCTTATGGGTCTCAGGGCTCATGTCTTCATGCACATAGTTCCGTTCGATAGAAATTCGTCCGAATGAGGGTGAGCTGCCGAAGATTTTTGAAATTTTTACATTCATGATGTTTTTGAGGTGAAAAATCTAATTTTGTCCGGGAAAAAGGTTTTTTCTCACACCTGAGTCCACAAGTAAACATCTCCATCTCAATTTATCGGATACTAAAAAGAAATATCACTGTAATTCTGTTTTATCTTGCCAACTGTGTTCCCTAAGTATAATCCTCACCAATTTGCCCCTGAAGTCATCTAATAACAATTATTTTTAACGTGTGTTCGTGTATGTTGCAGAAATTCTCAGTTTACGGGAAAATCGCCAATTGCAAAGTTGTACGAGATGTTGTTACCGGCACAAGCAAGGGGTATGCGTTTGTTGAATATATCAATGAAGACGATGCCTATACTGCTTATATCGAGGCTCGAAATATAACCCTCGATGGTCAGAAAGCAATGGTAGATTTTGAGCGTGGGCGCACTCTTCCAGGATGGAAACCTCGAAGATTAGGTAATTTTTCACTTTTATAGATCCAATAGAAAACGCATGTAAGAAGGCTGAATCATTCACTTCTCAGCCTTAAGCGTATTCGATCCAGGAGACTGTAAGAAACATTTTGTAAAATAATACAGAAATTGAGCTGCAACTGGATCTCTTGGTGATCATCGTGCAGTCCTCCAATTTCCTGAGCACACTTTTCCTGGCACTTTCTCCTGAGTTGCTGTAAATGAATGATCATGTAAACTGTTATTAATCTTTCATATATATATTTTTAATCTGTGTGAAGCATTTGATTTTGCATTTCTTTCTAAGTTAGGACCAAAGAAATGCTTTGAAACAACTGAAATCCTATGAGATATAGACTGATTGCAGTTTGCAAGATTGTCTGTTCATGTTGTTGAGTTCTCTCTCTGGGCAAATCTGTTTACTGGCAACCAAGATGAAAAAGCTTGGAGATATGGTTAGTTTGAATTAAACCTTTAGATACCCGTCACTAACAAAACTTATGAACTCTAAACGAACTTCAACTCTTCTAACTGCTGTTGCACCGATGATGGGCCACTTCTCACAACACGTCCGTTATCACTTAAGGAAAAAGCTGTCACAAGTGAGTGATCTAAACGTTTTAAATTTTGATTATTCTTAACTCTGTTGTTGAATTTTTTAGGAGGTGGTTTTGGTGGCAGGAAGGAGTCAGGACAGCTGAGATTTGGTGGCAGGTCGTGTCCAATTGCGGAACCTATCACCATTGCTCAATACAAATCTTCAAATTATCATAGCAAGAAAAATTACCGGCGATAAATCACGGTCCTTCTCATTGCCTTCAACTATTATAGAACAAGGTAGATTTACACAGGTATGGACAGAACTTAACAACTGGCCTCTGATTGGCTCTCCAGCGGCCCCTTAATGTCAGCCATTTTGAATGTTTTGATTATTTTGATTTATTATGTTCGGTTTATCGTTTGTCAAAATTTTGTGGGATTTTTTGCACAATTTTGATAATGCGATATTAATTTTAACGTTTAAACGCACAAACGTTTGAATGTTAATTTGATTGTAATTTAATTAAAAAACGGGCCCCTTAACCTACGTCACGTAGTCATGTGACACGTACTGAGGCTCATGGGAAATTTTCAACTTTTCCATACCTGTGTAAATCTACCTTGATTATAGAAATAGGGTATGGTCTGGTAGTTTCACCATTAATATGCATCAATTTCACTATGCAATTGGAATTTTGCAATTTTTGTAAAAGTTTGTAAATTTTCTATGTAAATTATGTAAGTATATTTTTGTAAATTTATCTTCTAGTCAAGCAACCTTTTATAATTGGTCATTTGGAGAATAAACCCTATATCACTGTCTTCTGTCAAGTTGGCTTTTTCATGTTTTTCTTGGCTAGAGGATATTTTTCCTCAATCAATTCCCTGCAATGAATTTGCAAATTGAAGCACTAGGTGGGAGAGGGTTTCCTCTTGGTTAATTGGTTTCAGAATCTTCGCTAAAATTTTCATTCATTTTAGGAAAATAGAATGAATGCATTTCATTAGAACTTTTACTGAAGAATGTCCAGAATTCTACAATGTTCCATAGAGGGAAATCCAGAAACATCACATATTAGATTTTTCTCAATGGCATAAATTAGTGATCGAAATTCTGCAACTTTCCTACCAAGAAGTGCCCTTCTCACACTCAGCGCTTCTTCAGTGTTGCTTTGGTGGCTGTGCCGTTCATAAGACAGTAGCAAAGCATTTCAAATGCTCCTTTAAGGGCTGAACTTTCTTTATCTTAGTTTGATCATGGTACCTGGTATAGTTCTACATATTTTGAAATTTTAATTACATACAGTTATGCACTCTTTTTTAAAAAAAAACTGATAATGATACACCAATACAGCATCACTTAGTCTATTATTTTCTAGCAGTTAATAACATCAGCTTGAAACAATTTGGAATATTACATTATAAGCCAATTGTTTCAATGTAGCTTGGGTTGAATTTTCTTTTTTTCCCCTCTCTCTTAATATGATTCAGATTTTAATCGCTAATTGGATTCTTTGATTAAAAAAAAAAACAAGAACCAAGGAGAGGTTTTATACTGACACAAAAATCAACAGTAAAGAATGATCTTTTTTTAAACGAAACATTTTATTAATTACAGGTAATTACACGGTACAATTAATATACGACAGAACTTATGGGGTCTGCTTTTAATTTGTGTAAATCTAGCCTTGAATCCAGGGATTCATCTACTTCTCCAACAATAGCACTGAAAAAAAGAGGAAGAAAGACCGTCAACATTTCTGGATATTAAACTTAAAGTTACATTCACAATATAGTTTTTTCGGATGGTTTTATTTGTACACTGATTTATTACTAATTTGAGCTGAATTAAAGTTTGAAAAAAATCATTTAAGCTCATAAGGAAACAAGGGGGGAGACGATCATTGTACCTGAACACGTTGAATCCTTGAAAGAAGTGTTAAAGAAAGGTATTGATAAATAAGATTGAAAATGCATGCCTCAGATAGCGACGATGTAGGTCTCCATTCATTTTTTATTTTTTAAAGAAAAACTAACTGACAGTTTCTAGTGACATTTACTGTGAATTCTCTGGTCTCATTTAGGAAAAATTGACACGGAGGCATCTTGATTAATTTTTCTTGGGGAGAATGATCAGGGATTTTCAAATTTTGCAATTGAGGCATTCATTCTTCAAATTAAGCCATCAATGTACCTTTTTTTAAGTTGTGTACCTACAATGTTCTAAAAGTGGACTTTAGCTGCTAAACTTTTGCCACTTTCCAAAATTTTACAACCTACTCAAAATTATGCTTGAGGTTCCATGGTACTAACCTTTGGGAGTTTTCAGAGAGGTAATCGCACTTTTTTTTAGATAGCTATTAGGAAAATTAAAAATCCTTGATATCTATTTTATTTTTTTAGATTCCTACATAAGATACAGGGAACTTGTGTCAATTTAAATTGTTTCAGATTTTAACTTTGAGTTTCTCCGCTTTTTCATCCTATAACAGAGACGGCTCTAGTAGTAATTTCCTTTTATGATCGCCACCAAAAAACTGGATGATTCAGGGCAAAGTTGGTTGATTGCGGTCACAGAATCCTTTCTTGAAAACTGTTACTTGTTTTTTTTTTTTTTTTTTTTTTTTTTTTTTTTTTTTTTAAATGAGAACTCTTGGATAGGGGAGAGTTACTTGATCTTGGAGATTGTAACAAATTATGAGTCTGCCATCTAAGTATTCTTTCTAGAAGCTTAATTGATACTTACACATTGTCACCTCTGATGATGTGCAAACCAAGAACTACTTGTTCAACACCTTGAGTAGGACTGTAAACCCTTTCGTGGCTGTCGTCCAAAATCAAGTTGATTGTCTGATCAAATCCTTTCAATGTACCCTGAAAACATGAGAGCCAAAAATGTTAGTTGCTGCTGTTTGAACAGTGGTTTTGATTCCTTTCGTGTTTTTTCTTAAAATGATTCAGCTATTTCAACAAGCAGAGCTGAAATCAATGAAAAAGATAAGTTGGACCGCGTTTAACAGAAAGGAACCAAGCCACATCAGCAATTGCCAAATTTAACACGGCAGTTTAATTTTTCACAAGAGAAAGTTTGAGCGGATTCCTTCGAAAATTTTAAGGAATTTGCTTCGTACTGTGCAGAAAATCCACTGAGATTTGCACCAAACTCCGCACAACCGTCCTCGTGTAAAATATTAAATTGCCCAATTAAATTTGGCAATGGCTGATGTGGCTTGGTTCCTTTCTGTTAAACGCGGTCCAGTTGTAGCAACTAATGTTTCTTGAATATTATTTCCTATTTAACAGAGATGTATCAAGGATACTTCACACTGCTTCTTAAAAATCCATGTTTAGTTTCATCTTGAGAAAACTTCTCAAGTTGACTGATTAAGCTTCCAAGATCATGGTTGCCACTTTTTAGTTTCATCATTAAAATTATTAAAAATTACGTAGAACTTGCCTGTTATTGGTCATATAACAAAATGGGTATGATTGATTGTAGAAATATTACACAATCTGGCTGTAATATAAGTACTCTATCTAACAAAAGGTACTTCAGTGGTGTTATTACACATTTACTCAAGAAAAAAATGTATTATCACCTGTTGATACGATTATCTAAAAAATATTTTTCTCAGTTTGTAATGTAGAAATAAATGTCATGCTAAAAAAATTAACACTTACAACAAAATTCCGTCCGTCTGATGTAATGATCGACACTTGATCTGAGAAAATGAGTAAAGGAGCAATCATGTCAAAACTCTGAAAAGCAATGAGCAAATTCAAGAAAAGATAAAAAAAAGTTACTCCATTCTAGCGACAGGTCTTGCTTTGAAAGTATGAAGAATGACGTTGACCTAAAAGGCAAACCTGAGAGAAGCCCTCATGGTTGGGAGAGAAGCATTTCCGGGTACTACATCTAGGACTAGAACAATTATAAGGTTTGAACTATCACTAATCTAGATTTAAAGTAGGACATTCAAGAATTCATCCTAGCATGACCCATGAATTTCCGACAGAAATTATAGATTTGACAAAAGACAATTTTAGGACCATTGGTTCCTATCAGAGAATTCCTACCTACCAGTGACCACCAACATTGCAGCACGCTCTGATGGCCTCTTGTTTTCCTACCATTCATTCCTGATAAGCTGCTGATTGACCTCCAATCTCCATGAGAAATCCACCAGCAGCCTGATTGTTGAAACTTTAACTGGCTTTGTCGGCACGATAAGACAAGACATGGCCCTATCTGCGCTGTGTAATATGTCGATTTTCGATTCTTGTCGTGCCAACATAAATTTCAACAATCAGGCTGCAGAGGAGCTTTGAATAATTTACAAAAACGTTGCCGATAAGATTGCATTAGTGGTGATTTACCTTGTTTTAACACGAGTTTCAAAACGAAGAGGTTGGAACAAGAATACAGCAAACCTCCTGGCAATCAAAGCTAATAAGAGGCTGCAAAATTTGGACCTAGTCTCCTTAAAATCATTACAAACTTAACAGCTTGCTTGGAATGTAAAAACACACAACATAAGGATAAAGGAGGGAGGAAAACTGATATGATGAGAGGGGCGATCTCAATAAGTTGGTTTTCTGCTACCTGTAAGGTGATAAGTTAAAAAGGATACGATTTAAGTAACTTTCCAGTCCTGCAGTCATTTTCACCTCCTTATATAAAAAGGTTGTCAGGCCGCTAAGCACATTCCAAATGGAGAAGGATAAATATTGATAATTGTGATGTTAAAACGCACAAAAACGATTTTGTTTAGTAAATGAGTTTCACAGCGCGGAAAACATAACCTCAATTTCAAAACAAACAAACTTCGCTTGACCGGAACCGGAAATTCTACAATAAACAGGATATCCTAGAGACTAGAGACGGATATCCGTGATTATTTGAAATTCCCGCTATTTTTGGTTCAACTTGGAATGTGTGGAATGAACCGCTCTAGACCAATCAAAACGTCTGGTTCAGAATTTGCGGTTAAGATTCCTTTTGTTCGTAATGAGGAATAATTGGAATACATCAGCCATTTGAACCAATTTGCGAGAAGAAGAAACTTTGAAGCTTTGTCGTAGGGCTTTCGCTTTGATGTAAGTTGATTTTGTACTTCACCCTTACAATAACTTTCATGTGTCAAAAACTAAATTTTAAAATAGTATTTGCGCATAAAATCGATAAATTTCCCAATTTTTACGGTAGTGTTTTCGCTGATTCTGCAATTTGGCAACCACGTACCATGATCTCATGGCTTTTCCACCAATTATTTTTGTTATCAAATTGATGGCGTGATAAGACTGTCGTGTTATGATCGAGTGATTAAGGCAAGTGCATTGCAAAACGTAGACTGCGACATTAGGTAATTATTTAATCGTTTTCCTTTGTATCAGAGGTATTTAGTCTCAGTAGTGTAGTTACATGAGACAGTCTCTAAACCATTATTCTTCGAACCATGGGTCTAATTCTAGAACTGATTATAAAAAGCTTTGTTTTACCTGTTGTTGTTGTTGTGGGAATCGCTCGATTGAATCTTTGGCTTATTAATAACCATAAGTACCACCTGTAGGTGAGAGACACATGCTTTTTTTGCTCAACATTGCTGCCTTTCCTAAATTACATTAAAGAGGGTGCTATCAGGTCCTCATTAAATCTTTGCCCGATAGTCGTGGATAGCAACTGTCCAGCCTGGTGATCAAAGAAGATCCACTTTATTCACCTGGCATATATTTAGCGCATACTTAGTGGCATGTTAAACTCAATTTATCGGGTCATGAAACATGTAATGTTTTTGGGCGATGGACTCTGTAGTTCATCTTTTTTTCTAGCGTAGAACATGTTCTGTCAGTAGGGTCGGATCTGACAGGTTGACATCAATGGCGTTCCTCCATCTATACATATGCACAGCCCGATTCATGCAATCAAAGTGGAGCACTAGAAGTGCCACCAATTTATGAGGTTCCCAGCCAGTTCTACCTGAAATTCCCTGAAAATTTTAAGATCTGATCTTTTTTCTCTCTTGTTTTTTATTAGTATGTTTAGTTCACATCATGATGTGTCCGAAACATACAAAAGGGAGAACATTCTATACAAAGTTTAAGCATCAAGACTAACTCCTCTCCGGACTCTCTATTTGTTCTCTTAACCAGATTTGGGGCTACGCCCATCAGACCATCAGAATTAATTTTTAAAACCTTTGTTTCATGCGCAATTTTCAGCACCACCTCCAACGAGAAAATTAATTTTATAAAACGTTCAATGTTGACATTTTTCTTCCGCTCTGCCTGACTTTATTACCAACAAAAATAAAGTCAGTTGACAGTAGATCCTGCACTTCATATTGTATAATTTTTCTTTGCTTTTTCAGGAGGCAAGCAAATAACCATGAATAAAAATCTGGATGAGAAGTAGGAAAGATAACTAAAATCATGGATGCGATGAAACTAACATCGCCGGATGAGGGCATGGAGGCCCAAGAAGAATTTCTAATTAAAACAAAAGGATGTCCCCCTCGTATAATTCCTGGCCCTGCACACCCTACAAATAAAGGATCGATATCATGGTATTCTTCTATCTTCTTTAAATGAAAATTATTTTCTCATTGCTTCAATAGTGGTATTTACTAACCGACGGTGTAAGTCGGCAATCACATAACTCGGTTTGCGACGTCACAGACTTCCTGTCATACTTTATTTTTTAAATGGAAAACTGCTCAATGGCAATTTTTTAAAACTGCCGTAATTTTTCTTCGCAAAATAAAATTCTGCATAAATTTCAAGGAATGATGTCAATTTATTCTCCTTTAAAAAAACAACATAGAGGCGGAGATTTTCAGACACCGCAAACGAGATATGTGATTGCAGACTTACACCGTCGTAATGTACATTTTTGCTTTACGTAATAAATATATTTACCATTAAGATAAACTCAAGTTGAAACATAATTAAAATATACCAGTAAAATGCTTTCTTGCCCTCTTAGCAGTTCTGTAGTGCATGTTAAGATCCATGAAACTTAGGTTTTTACTTATCTTGAGAGGCAAAGCACAGCATGTGACCTCTTAAATTGGGGTGTAACACAAGCTATTTGTAAGATAGAAAAATACCCAATATAAGTTCTAATGTGAAAGCGTGTCGGTGGTTTTTAACAAGGAAGGTATCTAAAACAGTCATATTGATATTGTGTACAGAGTAGCATCAATATTTAGTGTACAAAAAAAAAAAAAAAAAAAAAAAAAAAAAAAAATTCATGTCCTCGCTCAATTTTTTTATGTTAACCTCCCACCACAGAGCTCCTGAACTTTCCATAGATCAGTTAGCGGTATAAGTATTCACTTATTTGAATTTTTATGTTTTAAATTATCCTCCTTATTAAAAACAGTAAAAATGTCCCTCTCTTTGAACAGTATGGAATAAATTATAAGCCAATCGGTAAGTAAATGTAATGATATTAAAAATGTGTGGTCTCACACCATACTATCTAGCATACATTGGGTACCAGCCATTCTTTTTCATCATAATTAAGGTCATGCTGCATTGTATAATTCAATTTTGAATGCTCTTAATTTCAGGGGTCATCAAGGGTTCATTGCCTATGGGAGCAATACATACGTTATTGTCATGGAGCCTGTGACTGCTCAACATGTCCAAGTCTTCAAAGGTCACAAAACGTTTGTAAAGAAGGTAATATAACGACTTTTATCTCTCAAATGGATTACATTCTGCAATAAGGAACCACTATTTCTGGCTCATTTTAGAAACAACATATTTCCATTTTCATTTTTTTTTTTTCGTTGTACTTATCTGTAACAATAGCGGTTGTCAAGTTTTCACATTGTGAGAAAATCGCGTTTGAAGTTTTTGAAGCTTTACACTTTTCCGCCCGTAGAACCGAGAGGATTCTCATAAATATTTTCATGAAGAGCAACTGTTCCGGTAAAAAATACACGTTTTACGATCTATGTAAGTGAAAAATTGAAGGAGTAACAGCGATTTGTAAAAAATGTGACATCCGCTATTTTTACTGCAAACACTTTTTTATGCATGAAACAAAGTTTTCAGGAAGGGTAAGGCAGGTGAAACGATTGAAATTACCTAAAAGTAAGTCAATGCTGAGTCATTTAACAAAATTGATCAAGAAACTAAACCGTTTGTAACTTTTACGACAAAAACAAGGAACAAATTCTAAAATAAATTAAAAATTCAACAATTCTGGCGAGACGGTCCCGATACGTATAATTTGAGTGTCAGCTACAGCCCATGGCTGGTGGGCAGGCAGTTATCGCAAGTGGGTTCAAATCTCCACAGAGTCCTGCCGCGCCGGCCGGGGAAAACAGTGGATTCTCACATCCACTGTTTTTACAAATAACATGGTTTTCAGTTCTTATCTCGCCGAAAAATTGCGCTGGAAGTCTGAAACTTTGCACAGGCATTCTTGGGCATTGCCCTTAAAATGGCGGATGTCAGCGACCGCTATTGTTACATATATGCCCTCATATATGTCATTGATTTCCCTTTGCAGATACGTGGTTTTATGGAAGAGCCAGAGATAGTGGTTCCTTATTGCAAAATGTAGTCCAAATGTCAGCAATATTCAGGAAAAGCAAATTTTTTTTGCTTGCAAATTGGTTCGCGGCTCATATGGCAAAATGAAGATCTCAAAAATTTCCGAAATATCATAGTATCGATTATTGAATGCATTTCTGTCGTAACACCTCATTCAAAGTTGAACCATTTGAACCTCGAATAATTTGTCTCAATACTAACTTTCCCCTCAACAGTCTTTCAGTCGTAACTTTTGTAGAAGACAGTATTTCATCATACCTTATAACTTGCAGCTTTGATGGTGATCGCCTCGGTTTTGGAGGATTGCCGATCATCAACTTACACCATTATTGTTTTTACCCCAAAAAAGAGGAAAGATTCATATTAAAAGTGACAATTGTTTTTTCATCAATACTTTTTGTAGGTTTAATTCATCTTTTTCATGTCCAGGTTGCTTGGGCTCCTTACAGTATCCTGGAAAAAAATGACAATGATTTCCTGACCCTAGCATCGGGTGATGAGTCTGGACAAATCATCATATGGAACATGAAAAGTGGAAAAGCTGTCACTCATCTAATGGACTGTCCAAAACCCACTTTAGGTAAACTACTCTTCAGCAATGATTCCATTCTACCCTCTCATTAGCAAGTACTGAATAAAAGAAAACAGATAATGGTTGAAATAACAATACTTAAATCTTTCTTCCGAGATCACATATTTTTTTCCTTGAATGGAATTATCAAAAGCATTCACCCGCTTTATACTTAGCAATCATTATACTATCCAAAAACTTAAGGAAACCATGAATGGAACTTTCTGATTTTCTGGTAATTTGTAAGCTCGAGTCCCATGAATTTTAAGTGAAATTAGACTTTAATAAAAATAAAATGTGAATCATCAAAGTATAAAAGAACTTTCCTTACGTAAGTATTTGACAAATTTTGTTTTGGAGTGCAGCGGACCCTCCGAAACAAAATTTGATTAGTATAATTAAGTAAGGAAAGTTCTGAGTTTTTTTAAATTTTAGCAATTCCCTAGCCCTTTCCTAGTTCTTAGCCTTGCTCCTTGTTTAAGGAAAATTTTAACCAGAAATTAGACTCATGAAAATTTTAAGTAAAATTGTATCCTTCTATTGCTCTAATACTAACGCGTTTCTTTCTCTTTTTGTTCAGGTTTAGAATGGATCAGGACTAACAACAAGAAGGATTTAATTTTAGCGGCTCTACATGCCCCCTACTTCCTTGTTTTGTGGGACGTTAACAAAAAAACAAAAATGTGGAAGCAGAACTTTCCTCACACCTTGGTGTCTCTTTCAATCGACCCCTTTGATTCAACCAGATTGGCCTGTAAGCTAATTATATGCTTCTCACTTACTTATCTATTCATAAATGTTACATCATAGTCTCTAAATATGGCACTTGAGCTAATTAGGATCTAGATAAGAATTCATTTTGATAACTGCCAACAAATCACTTGGTCAACCATAGACATATGAAGAATCCTATGAGAAACTATTTTCAACTCACCATATGCACCATTTCTAACCAAGGACTCATTATCCTGATTCTCTTATTTGAATAACCTTGAAAGGAGGTCAGATTGATCCCGTTCTTATATCTGGCCTTAATCTGTAGTAGAAATATATTCAGAAAAATGAGACAAATAAACAAATCTCTGAAATAATAAAAATGATTATACCAGATCTAATAATATAGTTAATTTTTAAAGACCGGGATCCCTCATACAACGACTCTTGTATAACGTCCTGTCCTGTCTAGTCATCATTGGAACATAATCAACTGTCGAGTCAACTGGCGAATTATTTATCACAAAATTAGATATCTAATTAAATCTCAATTCATTCCACCTGTTGAAAATTTTAACAAATGAAAACTCAGCAAGTTTCTGTTCGTAAAATACATAATGCTCTCAAGGGAAAGGGGATCTGAGCCTTTATCAAAGGAGTTCTGTAGGAAGGAGGAAGGCATTTAAGGCTACATCAAGTGCTGTCGCAAGCAGAGCGTCAATTTTTTAAAATTTTAGATAAAAAATCGATACGGGGTGGCAATTTTTCATCCAAAATTATCAGAAAGCGCCATTTTAAGAGGAAGGAGGGTCAAATAAAGCATTACACAAGTTTATCCGAGGTGTGCAGACCTGTCTTGAAATAGCGTTTTAGAGAGAGAGTCGGGAGTAATAAAATCTGATTTTTAGCATTATGTACTTCATGAATGGCCCGTTACAGCACAGAGTCTTGATCAGGATATATGAAGAGGGAAAAGCCCATTTACTTCAACAGCTAAATATTGTTTATATAGTGGTGAGAGTGATTAGGGGGAGGGGAGGGTTGGAATTACAATTTTCAGTTCAACTTTTTTCCGAAGGAAAGTCTCCCTCTTTTCAAAAAATGATATTTCCAGGAATTAATATATAGTCTTAAAGCTATCTCCCTTTTTTTCTTCTATTTATCTACTTAATCTTCTCGTGGTTTTTTCCCTAGTCTTATGCACAGATGGAATCCTGTTTCTCAATGACTTCAATTGGAAAAAAATTCCTCCAGGAAATGGCACAAAATTGTATATTTGGAGTCCGAAAGCAATAGATAGAAGCTGTTTTGAAAATAGTCACCGCACAAGAGAGCGATTAAAGATGGTCATGAAGACTGTGAATGTTTCCCATACCAAACCGAAGTGAGTAAAATTTTTAAGAGCGCTCTTTGTCAAAATAGAACTGTGTATTATTATATCTTTAAGGGCCAAAGAACCCTAGTTACATTTTCACTAAAGCAAGAAATCAAGGGAAAACCATGCCCTAGCTCCATTACTTGTAGCGTATTTTGCAAATTTAAAAACCTCGGATTTAGGGCCTGGTATTAGATCTTACCTATAACCCATTTTTTTATACATTTAAATCTCTCACGAAGCATACCCAAAATGCAATTATATCAATCAATCAAGAATTGTTCGTTACGTTTCTTTGACTCTTAACTACAAAATCAAGGCTGGTAAGAGATTATGCAAGAAAGTAAAATACAGAATTCACCTCTCATCCTTGAAATCTTTAAGTAAAATTGAAAAAACACTCACACAGCAAAAATAACAAAAAAAAAAAAAAAAAAAAAAAAAAAAAAAAAAAAAAAAACCCCTTTGAAGAAACGAAAATTATGAAAGAAGAATTAAAACAACAGAAGTCTCTAACATCCAATAATAAATTGTTGCAGAAAGTAGGAAATTGATTAAGGCTGAAAGCAAATATGCAGCTGAACCAAATATCGTAAGCAAAATCATCGGTATAAATGTGGTTTGAGCAGCTTGTATTATTTGCGAGTATTAATTTCTATCGTTGATTTTATTTTCCAGACAGAATACCGCAGTATTAATAGGGGTACCTCAGTATTTTGAAAGCTCGCAATATTCAGTATGCCTGAGTACTTTTGTCCATTGTTCACGGATATGCTATCATTTTCAGATCTGATGCAGGACTGACGGTTGAAGATTGCATTGAAATTCACTTTCATCATTCTTTGAAGCATCTCCTTATTGTTTTATACCCGAGAGACATATTAATCATTGATTTGAAGATGGAAACAGCCGTTGGAATAGTCTCAATAGAGCAGTCTGCTTCCCCATTTATTCAGGTATTAATTGGACTGCATTTTGCAATCAGGAACTGTAATTTCTAGCTTACCCATAAAAACACTTTTGTGCATAGGGAAACAAGTGGCACATGCTTGGTTTCTAAACTGAGCCAAGAATTGTAGTTCCAATTTGCAAAATTTAGTTCAATTTTCATTCTAATGGTTCTTGATGATATAGGACCTGGGTATATTTACCTTTGGAGATTTTATGAGCCAATGCGTCACTAGTCAGGGTAGGAAGTCAAGACATGCAATACAGCTAAAGTAGAAAAATGCGCAACTCCATTGCAATATTCAAAAATCTCCAATAGTTGTGCAAATTATGTTTCATTTTTCTAAAAGGAAACGAAACAAAAAACCTCTCTAAAATTTATACTACCGAAGTACATATATTGACAGTGTAAGTCGGCAATAATATTACTCAGTTTGCGACATCACAGACTTTCTTTCGTACTTTATTTTTTTAAACGGAAATTCTTTAAAACTGCCATGATTTTTCTTCTATGTGATAAGAAAACTCTGCAAAAACTTCAAGGAATGATGTCAATTTGTTACTCCTTTAAAAAAATAGCATTGAGGCGGAGATTTTTAGACACCGCAAACGAGTTATGTGATTGCTGACTTACACCATGGATATGTGTCATGTTTATAGATATGAGCTTGTTCAGTAATTTTTAGTTCTTGCATTTTTGAAAACTATATACTCACCGAAAACAGTTCAAAGTCGCATATATTGAGCTCCCATTCAAACGCATACCACCATGAAAGCTAAGATGGCACCTGAAGAGATCCCTCAAGCAGCGGTCACACTTCTGATGTTCCGTATTCTCTTGAGAACGATCCATGGACCATGCATCGATAAGGAAATTGGAATCTATCAATTTCTATTGAAATCATTGATAGGTTCTTAACTAACGTCAAATAATTCATGAAATTCAGAACAATGGGCCTGTTGCAAACTTTTGCTAGAGCAAAAATAAGAGTTGTTTCTTACAGATAATGTCTCAAAAATCACAATGAGCGCTTCGGCAAAGTCTGAAATGCACCCAGAACTTCACAATCTGCGTAAGATATATGCGTTTTTTTTTTAGCTTCCCGCTTCCAAAACGATACTACGGCACAGGTGAATAATTTGTTAGAGGAGTTGTTCCATCGTCGGCAATATTCATCATGGCAAATGCCAATCTGCCAAAACACGTGTGATAGGACGAGATAACATCTGACCAGGATAAGACCAGATAACTATCGGTGTGTTTACGTTCATATTTTCCTCGCCCGCCTTGATTGACCATGAACTCTCCTCGAATTATGCGCGGAACTACAGGAGCGTCGGCCATGATGAATATTGCCGACGATGGAACGACTCTTCTATCAAAATGTCCACCTGTGCCGTAAAAGCTCAAAAAAACGCAAATTTCTTACGCAGATTGTGAAGTTATGAGTGCATTTCAGACTTTACTGATGCGCTCATTGTGATTTTTGAGGCATTATCTATAGGAAACAACTCTTATTTTTGCTCTAGCAAAAGTTTGCAACAGGCCCATTTGTAGGTTACATGAGAGAGATGGAATGAGAGAAAGAGTAGGAACAAAACAATATTTCATCTTGCGTGTATTCTTTTTACAGTTATGGCCAGCTAGACAGAGGGATGTCCTGTACTGTGTACATGAATCGGGTAGTGTGAGTGTGAAAACCAGAAGTAAATTGGACCTTGGTGTGTCACTCGCCTCACCCTTGGATGCTCCATTTCAAAACCCTGGTGAGTATTTATTCTCTATCCAGCAAATGTTCTCAAAGTGTTCAGCGTTTTAGGCAAGTCATTTTCAAATGTTGCCAACGAAAGAGCATTAGATTTAGAATAAATTGCCCCTAGTTTTTTTGTGTCACAGGGCTGGTGTTTGCTATAATTAAATAATTCTTGTTAAAATATATTTTTTTATTTTCCTTTTTTTTTTGGCGGAATACTACTTTTTATAGAGTGTAAACAACATTTTTTTCATCTCTCAAAACATTTTAGGTCCCTAGTTAGACAAGTTTTCGAAACAAGACACAAGATGCAAATACATCCTCTGTTACTGTAGTTGTATCCGGGATTTCTTAGTCCCCTTCTTAAAGAATCTGAAGCAGGTCTCCTATTAGACAAACCAGCTTTCACAAATAACTTTGCAAGAGGGCTGCAGTATCCTATTCCAAAACTCTATTCGTTTTGCCATAAGCTGATTGATCTGCCATCTAAACTTGTAGAAAAGGATCGATTAGCAGGGTGTTTACAACTAAGACCTAAATAATCAATTCTTTACCATAGCCTCAAATGGGAAAACCTCGATATTTGGCGGTTCATGCTTCGCCACTGAATACGATTTGTTAATATTCAACTTAAATTGAGTAATTTCCCTCTTTAAAACGAGTTCAATTCTTTCATCAACAATATGATAACCCTGGTAAAAGATTTAAAAACTGTAATGTATTTTTTGTGCTTAAGAGAGAAGCTTTTGTGCAGAAAGAGTTCATTCTTGCATCTTGGATCATGTGAACTTATCATTAATTTTCTATTTATTCTTTGTGGTCCTTTGGCCTTTTAAATGATCATTCTAATTTTTACCTCTAATAGATAAATGACCTAAAATATGAATGATAGGATCAGTAACCTGACTGTGTTCATCTTTTTTTAGACAGTGGCTTCATGTGGTATGAGACTCTTGTTCAAAGTGACTTTGTACGGCAGATGAAAGGCTCTAGAATACTGGGAATTTCTGTTTGTCCAGTCACTGAATCAAAAATTGGTAAGTAAAACATTTTACATTAATTTCTGTTGGTTTTTTTTTTTTTTTGGCTGCATGTGACGTGCACTGTTTTATGATAAAATAAGAGAAATGAAAGAACTTAAACGGGGTACAGGCTGTGAATAAAACAATTTGACGAGACGTTTCAGGGTTAACATGCCCTTTTTCAACTGCCGATAAAACAAAGTGTTAAAAATTTGGATGAGCCATCACTTAACAGCAAGGCAAGACTATTTTATTTTATGATAAACCAACACAATTGTTTTGCATGAATGGATCTAGACACAACTTCTAGGCTGAATGCTCTTGCAGTTCCTCTCTGAATTTTGTCCTAGTTATGTGAATTCGTCTGAAGCAGTTGAGAGGAAAAAAGTAGTAATTTTTTTTTTGCTGGCTATCAAACCATAAGTAGTCCTCATAGTCATCTAAGTTCCTGTGTAACTTGCGGCATAAGTAGATTTATATCTACATATGCATTAATATATCCCTATTATTTATTACAGTTTCATAATATTTCCCTCCGTATTTTTCAGCTCTTGTTGTATCCTCAGGAAAAGTCACACTGTATGAGCTGGAAAATTTATCAATCCTCAAAGGCAAAGATTTGAATAAACTATCTACTATGCTACCACCATCCATACAAGTAAGAATCATTTCAACTTCAAATGTTGGACTTTTCCTCCCGAAGAATCATCCACATAGATGCATTTCGATTGAGCTTCGGTGGCTGGAATAGTTTCGGTTTAAAAGCCAGTGCAAAAGGGAGTCTATGACTTTCTAATAAAGCCCTATATAGGGAAGTGGAAAGGAGAGAGAGGGCCAAGTACGAGGGGGAGGTTTCTAGTTTCTGAAAAAAGTGCCTCACGGCATTTATTGACCTACTTTAAATAAAAATTAAAAGGACTCAATACAAATTTAGTACAATTGTGCTGCAAAATTTCATTTACAACATCTAAATTTTGCAGCACACCTAATGGTTTTGTACTCACTCTTTAATTTTGTTTAATATTGCTGCTACTCCAAAAATGTTCACTCCTTAAATAAGGAAAGGAAATTCAACGTTTCTAATAATTTGTGGGAGACCTCCGTAATTTTATTTAGTCTCAATTATTCTGCATTTTTCGTGCCCCTAATTTCGAAAATCAGATAGTGCTTATTACATTTTCTCAAAAATCTGCTCCGATGTTTGACATGTAAGTTTGAAAAGCTTTAAGATTAGACCTATTGGCCTTAGAATGGGAAAGGCGGTTTCATCAAACGGAGTTCGGATCATAACACAAAAGTTTTATCATCTCAACACTCATTCATCTGTAACGTTTTTCTTAGTTTTTAAAAGTATTAAGTTCTCGAATGAAGACTTAGGATCAATAATGAGCTAGTGGCCAAACATTTGACAATCTATTTAGACGCTGTATTTCGTTCCAAGCCACTATGACAACATGCTGCATAATGGGCTGAGTGCCATCAACACTAGGGAGTATGTATGACGTCTGAGAGATGGTGCTACTTGTACATATACGTTTTGCAGCAATTTATAGAAATAAACATGTGAATGACTTGAAATCAACTTTTCACACCTACCATATTGGTGATAGGTCTTAAAATATTATAATCCGTCTGTATTTTTTTTTTCCTCTGGTTTAAAAATATTTGTGTTGCCTTTTCTCTTCCGCCCAGGACCGAGCGTTACCTTTGAAGATGCGCCTTTTGGTTTGCGGAGTTTTGTCTGGGCTCCTCTACCCTTTGACAGTTTTAAAAGTAGCACCTGCACCATCAAGTTCTCAAGAGGCAGTTTTTCCAGCTCCGATTGTAGCTGTTGGATCTCAGTGCGGCTCAGTTCAGCTTTTCAGTCCGCAGACTGGTGAAATCTTCAGAGAATTAGCGCTTCACAATTACCCTGTGCGGTAAGCATCTACTACATCTAATCTGTAACTTCAAGGTTGCCACAGTCAGGGAAGAACAGGATATGTCCAGAAGTTTTAAAAAGTTAGGGAAAACCGGGGAAATGACGAAAATGTCAGTAAAAATGTTAAATCACCTTTATTTGCTTTCTATAATGAGTTTGAGGTTTCAAACAACAAATTTTACCGGAAAACTATTTTCCATTATGTCTTCTTAACATCTGTCATATCTTTAATTCTCAGGGAATTTCGCCAAAATGCGTCAGGAAAATTAAGGAGAAGAAAATCAAACACAATCGGAGATTTTTAAATACTGTAATGGGCTTTTAAATGGTGTCTGAAACAAAGCATCAGGCAACAAGTTTTCTCTTCAAAATTCACAAGGAAAGTGAATCACCCTACTGGAGGTCTAAAAATCAACTCCTAGTTCAAAGTTCTAAGATTTAAGTTTTTATTCTTAACATCAGTTAAATGACAAAAATTGAAATGACATCATCTGTATCTATAACGTACATTTGATCTGTGTTAAAAATTCTTGTCAATATCTCGTTCAGGAGTTGATTTCCAAACTTTCCCTTCCGTAGATCGTTTTCTACATAAAAGAACGAGGAGAAAACATTATGAGAAACAACTTAATCAGCCAAAATACACATAATAAAAGAACAACTTGATTTGGGGAAAAGGCTGCAAATAAAGAACAAAGGATAAACAAAACCCGAAACATTTCAAATTAGTTACAATTTCATTTTCAACCGGAAAATAAATTAAAAATAAAAACGAGCCGTAGCTACGCTGTTATTGCGAGACCGAGACTCAGGTCTTGAGACACCGTTGAGTCTCATTCTCGCAATAACAGCGTAGCGACGGCTCGTTTTTATTTTTAATTTATTTTCCGGTTGAAAATGAAATTGTAACTATTTTGAAACGTTCCGGGTTTTGTTTATCCTTTGTTCTTTTTTTGCAGCCTTTTCCCCAAATTAAGTTGTTCTTTTATTAGAAAACATTATGCTTTTTTCTAGTTCAGACCTCGTCTTATGGCTAGTTGAGACTTGCATTTTTTGCAACCAGTCAGTAATGCACATCTTGACAGTTTTAAATATTTTGCTCAGCACTTATTGTCATATTGTCTTCTCAATGTTTTCTCTTGGACTTTTTTAAACAAAATGCCCTTGACTGATGTACCCTTTATTTATGTTTCAGAGGAATTGAGTGGTGTGGCCATAACTATTTCATTTCCTGGGCCTATCAGTCTGCTGATACTCTAGTTCAAAATGAAGTTTTTGTCACCAACATTGAAACAGGAAATTCTGTACCACTCCGCGCAGATGCAAGCATCGAACCACCCATCGAAATCATAAAAGTCTCCCATCTGAAACAATACTTCATTCTGGTGCTCAAAGACAGACCTGTAGAACTTTGGGATTTGGAAAAGTTTTCGCTGTTGCGCACCATGTCAAAAAAATTTCCCTTTATCACAGCTCTCGAGTGGTCGCCTGTCTACAAGAAGAAACGAAGGAAAAGCTCTGCAGGGAAACAAGCTGTTGAGCAAAATGCTGAAAACTGCAAAGAAAAGGAGTACTTCGTCATGCGTGATACTGAAAGTTGTTTGTACCATTTTACTGTTGAAAATAATTCTATAGTCGAAGGCGTGAAAATTCCATCTGAAGCAGGTTTGGCAACCGTGACCTGTATCGCATGGAAAAACAATAAAATACTGCAAGCTGACTCCGAAGGTTTAATCCACATATGGGACTTGAAAGCTCGCTGTTCTAATGGAATGCAGGCTCATAAAGGACCTGTAATAAAAATGTGTTTTGCTCCTGGAAAACATAACTTCAAACTTTTAGCACTGTTCAATGATAGCCTTCAATTAGCGGATGTCAAAGGGAACGTTTACAACCGGCTTCACATGGTGAAAATGCCGGAGGAATCACCAAAAGTTATTGACATAGATTGGGCTGACTCAGAAACTCCCTTAGCAATAACAGAAGATGGTTGTTGTTATATTCTGGACGACAGCCTATCAAACACTAGCTCACCCCTGGGTGAGCTGAAATACGCCCAGCGATTCACAAACGCCTACGATATGCGGCCGGAAAATAAATCCGTCTACTACCTTGAAAACATAATTTTCAGAAACTTCGAGCCCAACATTCGATTAGCAGAAATAAATGATTTGAAATACTTTACTGGTCTGCGAGATGTTGAGTGGCGACACCTATCTACCTCTCAAATAATGATACTAACCGCACATATGTTTGGCTGTCAAGCGGAAATTGATTTTTGGACCGTAGCGGACTATTATTTACAGGTAGCCAAAGTGACGGAAAAACTTCCGGAAGGTGCTGGATCTTGTCCGGATGCAAACAATATAAACCTCTTCCAGAAACTCACTCCTCTAGATACCTGCTATGACTTTCTCTGTGATAATTATTCCTACAAACAACTACAACTGGAAAGAATCTGCCTCCAAGAGTGGAGGCGTACAGACTACGAGCATTCGCGCCTAGTAATCAAGAAACTCATCCTTTTGAACGAGACCGACAAAGCAGTCCAGTTCTTACTGGAGACAGACTTCGATCATCCAAATTATTATGTAGACGCAATCAAAGCATGCTTGATCGCAACAATCCAGTCTGGTGCTGCGTCTCAAAGCACAATCAAACTAGTCGCAACAAACTTAATTGCCAATGGAAAAATTTGGGAGGGCGTCGAGCTGTTGTGTTTGATAGGCAAAGGTCTAGATGCGTGCCGCTATTTACTATCGTACAACCAACATGCATCAGTGATTTGGTTAGCCAAAGCGGTTCTTCCTACGGACGAGTGCAAAGAAGTGATGATGAAAGTAGCCGAGCACTTCTTATCACAGGGTAACAAAGACGTGTATGTCTTGATCCTTATCTCTCTTTTGGAGTTTGACCAAGCCTTGCAGTTCTTGGTAGAGGATAATCAGTGGGAGCAAGCGTTGGTTCTATACATTGCATGCGAAGAGCATGAAGTTTCAGTGAAACAGGATTTGGCGGATTTCATTGTGGAAAATTTTATCGTCAATCGTTTGCCGAGACTGTGCAACTTCAGTGATGCTGAGAGTGTTGCGCTAGAAATTAATAATTGCCTTCAGGCAAGATTTAATTTGAAGATGGAAAGTCAGGAACAATTTCAGAAAGAATTCAAAGCTGAAGGGTTAAAGCTGCATTGATTTTAAGGAAATTTTTTATTTTTCATATATTGTACATCAAAGATGTTCTCAGGAGTGCAAAAATTTCCAAAATGCAAATCGTCTCTTGCTTTCCAGCACTTTTACCTTGTAGCGAAATTTTTGTGTAGCCTTTTGAAAATGTTCATTTGTTTAAATTTTTTGAGAGGATGTGCAAGGATTGAAATTGTAATTGTTTTTGAAAATTGCTTTAACCTTCTACGGTATGAATTAATTTTGAATTTTGAGGGACACAAATCTATGTTGTAGCTTTTGTTATAACATCGAGTCCCACATTTTTTTCCACATTTAAAATGTTTGGGAATCATTTATTCAGAAAAGAAAATACTGATGAAAATTTGCCAAATCATGCCACAAGGGAAACACTCAATCCTTAAAATCCCAAAAAACGCGTCCTTACGAATTCGCAACACCATGCCATAAAGGGTTAAGGCGAGGTACAAGATTTTCAGCTTTTTTGTCGCAGCTAGCATATCGCAAGGTATGGAATTTTTTTGCGCTCCTGCTTTTTAGTGTTGAACGTAGCCTGGTGATCAGTTCCTTGTTCAGAGCCGGACTCAATCTCACCAGAACATGAAGATGAGATGCCATTCAAATCATTTAATTGAAGATACCTACTGCTTTTTGTCACATTGAATGATTCCTTCCTTACTCATCCATCCCGTTCGTTCTGAATGAATTTTTAAGCAAATAGTACTTGCCCCGTATACTTATTAATACTGAATATAATAATGAGTTGCTTTTACTCAGGTCGATGAACACTTTTAGTGAAACGATCTCTTTTTTAGCTTATTTTTAGATATTTCTCTTTTTTTTGCATTCCATTTTAATGATAAATGCTTTTTTTATTTTAGCTTTATCATTTAACGATGATGAAAGTTCGAACTTCAATTCGCGATGCTGCAAACTACGTCAAAATCTATTCTCCAAATGGAAAATGACTCAATGTCATTTCTTGAAAACTTCCCTGTATTTTTTCCTCTGTGTGAAATATATCCTGTGAAAATTTTAAGCCAGAGTATTGATGAGGCCTCCTTTGATAAAATGAAGTAAAAGCATAGATATTAAAACGCCGCAAACACTTTTGCAGTCTCATTGTCGTTATGTATATGCCTTGGAGAACGCTCCTAAGCTAGTCTTACCTTCGCTAAAATGACTCTATGAACTTGAAAGATTACTGGTCAATATTGAAAATATGTGTAGTGTGAAATTCTCCCAAGTTTTGCTCAAGTTTGAAGCTTTAAGCCCGTCACTCTGCTATTAATTTTTTTTAATTACACATTTCTCTGAACATTTTACACAACCTTTGTCGATCAAACCAATATCAGAGATTTAGTGCCACTTCAATTCACGATAGTGTACATCAGAGCAAAAATCTGATTTTCTCTCTTTCCACGGATCTCACCTCAAGACCAGATTCAAATTTTTCTGACTCAATTGTTTGTCCTTTTCGTGAAAGAAATTAACTACGTACAAAAGAGACCCCATTTTATGTGTTCCTTAATTGTTAAAACATAATAAATTGGAAGTTTCTTGGAGACCTGTATGACTGCCAAGTTTCCAGAGGTTAGGGTAAATAAAGAGACCTAACCGCTATAATTTTGTGTATCATAGATATTTGTAGTTCGTCAAAATAAAATTTAGAGCCATATTTTTATAAAAGTTTTAAAAGATTTAGGATAACTGCAAAGTATGAAAGTTTTGTATTGACTGTATTGTATTTTTTCCTTTTCGTCACTCTAGCAATTTTTTAGTGGGGAGTCCGCGTCAAATAAGTTTGAACTCTTTTAAACTGCTATAGAAGATCTGCTGTCCTTAATTTAGCATTAGATACCAATACAAGAATCAAGATGGCGGATCTTCTGTCTCGCTCTGAAAGTGTTCAAATTTATTGCGGATGCCCTCCGTTTTTTGTTTTTTCCCACCAGACACTTATAATTTTTAAATATTACGAGTAATTCAATCCATCTACATTTAAAATCATATCTCAGGCACCCTTGCCTATCCCTTTTAAAGTACCTCTCACTTGCAAAATTTTTTATTCTTAAGATTTTACGTACACCAATAATGAGTCCAACTCAAAACTGGATACCTTAGTGGTATCTTTTTAGTTGTACATATGTATGAAATTCCATGTGTCATAGACCAGGAGTAAATATATATTTTTAGTCATTGTTTTTCTGTGTAAATAACACTTTGTTATAGCCGTTGTGATAGTATCTTATGTGATAATTGAATTTATATAAAAGTTGTCAATGGCAGATAGCCTTTTCAAATAAACCACAATTTACTCAGTAAATTTTTCTTATTTAATTAGTTGTCCAAGCTGATCTAAGTTTAATATTCAATCCAGAAGTCTAACTTTTTTCCTATCCATGACTGAAGTCGAAAAACGCTCATATTAGATTGCAACATAGTAATTCTATGCTCCTGTTTTAGTTCTTTGAAGGAAAACTAACAAACAATTTCAATTGAAATTTCGTCCTCTGCACTAGATGCGAGTTTTTTTCAGAATTCTTGAGGTGATTTTCCAGGGTGATTGCTCATTGGAAATTGTTTTTTAACATTTTTTATTTAAAACAGAACTCGATGACTTCGTCAATCCTCTGATGTAAGAGTGTAACTGCTTTTTGAGCCGATCCCCATTATCCAGATAATTTTGTATCTTCCTGAGCTCATGAGATAGGCCTTCATGTTAGAGGAGCTACAGTTCATGATAATTTTTTTTAGAAAAAAAATGGAAGACGCTAAGAGAATGCTGTCAAGTTGCAGTTTAACAATATTTATCCTCACTGGAGCTAGAAAGCTGAGTAATATCTAGCATAAAAAAATTGACTCCCAGAAATATATCTACAGAGTTCTTAGAGGCTGATCTTTGCCGGACAAATCGAGGAAAAAGTTAAAATGAGTAAACCACATATTCGATCTTTACTTTAACATGGGTTTTATTTGATTTTAATGGCATTGAAAAGAGGCTAGTTAATAGCATTAACAATGAAAATTACACATAATAAAAATAAAACTTTAAAAAAACAATTTTAACAACAAAAACTGGTGCTTCGAAAAGGAAAAAAGAAAGCGTATCTCCTCTTGCAAAACCCATTTTTACGAGTAGATAGCATCGATGATGTAGAGGCATGGTTCCCTATGTATCTTTGGTGGTTTCGAAACCTTACATCATTACTTTGTTACAAACATATTTTTTTAAAAAAACTATCCCCCCTCCGCGATAGATCATTCAGACCTCTAACTTTGGCATGATAGAAAAATCTAGTCTTGTTTGTTCCTCTAGGGCTTTCTACATGATCCCAAAAATTACAAAAGATTATTCAACCTCATTTCAAGAAATTAAAAAATGATAATCTGATAAATTCAAAACGGCGGAGCAAAATATAAAAGTCCTTTCAGTCTTTGATTTAATTCTAAACCTGCAGTTAACCTGCGTATAAAAGGTGGGAGAGAGAGAGAGGGGACGTTGTTCCCAGGTTGTCGCTGAAAAGGATGCTTGCTTTACATTACAACTAGAACTTAAATTTTAACGGGCAAACAATTCAGGAGATGGCTCAACATATGATGTTGAACCGCACAATAATACTGCTGCACTGAATGTTAAATAGATTATTTCTCCTAAATCCTTAATTTCCAAAACGGTGTAGCAATTAATTATTATCAAAAGGATGTAGGAAACACCACGGATGTGAACCAAAAGTCAATATTGCCTTCTAATCTTGCGACAATTCCGGCAATAAAAAGCCTCAATATAAAAGTTTTGGAAACCTCTTCATCTAAAAGATAACACATTATCAAAGCTTGAAATCTTTGCCAAATCATTCGTAAAATCCCATTGAGCACCGATGTAAAATAATTCCATGATGAGGAGGGATTTCAGAGGTATAGCAATTGAAACAAATTTAAAATTAAGTAAGGGACACTTCTCATACACAACTAGCATAACCTCTCAACAGCTCACATAATTTCTAAATAGTGGATGGATCCTTTGCATTTTGCATATTCCAAGTCATGGGCTTTGAAAATTTCATAGTTTCATTTTTTACGGAGCTGTTATTACGAGAGGGCCGAATTGAGCAAACGATTTCAACCATCAAGTTTACTTGACAACATTAACTCTAGGCAACCATAAAATCATATTCACAATTTTAGGAGGAGAGGTTGGGGAATCCGACAGAAACTTAAACTCTGCCTGTTGCTTTTTAATACATTTCCCAAAATAAATAAAATAATAAAAAAATGGGTGCAAGAAAAAGTTCGAAAGAAAAATTCTCGACAAACCTACTTAACAACTAGAGAACATCTGAAAATTTTAAGTTAATGCTAGCAAATTAGGAAGTTTGCAATTATCGTACAACAATATAAACGCAAGAAGTGAGCTTCGCTCATCGATGTTGACGGGTAGAACTTTGCTCGTTTGAGTTCGATCATCACAGATGGTCAGCTGACAGTAAGAAACTGGGTCTTAACTAGTAAAATTACATAAATACAAGAAAAGGTAAAATGAACAGGCAGCTCGGTAATGAAATAACAATTAAAAACTACAGGTTGTAAACAGAATTGGATGAGTGGTTGGGGCAAATCACCTTTTTCTCATTGGGATAAAGCTAGGGGATGGTTGGAGAAGAGAGCTGAAGTTAACTCGGAGATGGAACAGTCTGATGAAAACGATAAAGGATGCCAGGAAAAAAGACGATAAAGGTAACAACAGACTACAGAGTATTAATAAATGATTGGTCTAAACTAGTTCTTTCCGCCTGAATTCTTTGATCAGTTCATTACCCATTTGTGCTGGACTTTTCGTGACGATGACACCAGCCTGAAACAGATTAAATAAGGCAAACGTTGAAATAAATATGTTATAATAGTAATTTTCAGGACAAGAAAGAAAAGCTTTGATGCGCCATAAACTGTCTGAGGCAAGAACGCTGAGATTGTTCTAGATTTTCTGTACCTTTTCTGACAATACGTTTTACTGCAAGAAATCTGACAAAAAATCACCCAGAAATACTTTAAAGAGACGGCTGCAGGAAATAATGCAAACTTTTCACATTCTCATCAACTGGTATTTAAGGCAACTTATTAGAATACGATCTAAAAAATGAGGCGCTACATCACTTTAAGTATGTGGCTGCTTCCAATAATAGGATGAATAATAAATACTTCATAAAAAAAACTACATACGGAAAGAGTATAGATCATTAGTTGCTCCAGGCAACCACTATCGAATCATACCATCAAATTTTTCAACAGTCGATATGTAGTAATAAAATTGGCGACAATCAACCTATTTACAGATGCTTCAGATGGTGGGTTGTTTCACCTACTTTCTTTGTGCAGCTTTTAGTTACACAACAATGCATGGATCAGTGTACTCGCTTAGCTTGCAATTCTATGAAATTGACCCTCATTGGAGCCATTCTCCTCTCTTGCGGACTGACAACGTCTAGGCAGGACATGCTTTATTGTCAATAAAAATTGAACAATCGAATCGCATCTCTCAGTAATCAAAATTGAATCTACTCATTAGGTAAATGCATATTCTTTGTGTTTTTTTTTTCTCATTGAAGTTTTTGGAATTAAAATCAGCTGATGTTTCGCAGTTTCGTACGTGGAGCACCATGACATTTAAGATTCAAGGCTGGAATTCTGCCTTTTGTTTGTACTTTAAAGTTTCCAAAGAGTTTTCTCACTCCACAAGCATTCTTACTCTACAATTTCAAAAGAGAATTTTGATAAGTATATCTTTATCTCCAGCAAAAACGTTCATATCCTATGAAGTTTAAAAAAAAATTACTAATGTCTGTATGTAATACAAATAGGAGTAAAAGTTCACCTGATTTGGACCGCGTTAAACAGAAAAGAACCAAGCTACATCAGCTACTGTCAAATTTTTGGCAATTTTATTTTTTACATGAAAATAGCTCTGCGGATTTTGGTGCAAATTTCAGTGAAATTTCTTAAGGCGAATTCCTTACAATTTTTAAAAAAAGCCGCACAAACGTTCTCTTCGAAAAAAATAAATTGCCCGCTTAAAGTGGCCAATAGCTGATGTGACTTGGTTCCTTTCAGCTAAATGCAGTCCACTTAACATTTGGTGACAATTTTGTCAATTTTTGAATTTTCAAAAAACGCTTTCAAAGAAACATCTACATCCTTTTGGAAGGGAAAAAACTTAGCTAAAGATAAAATCAAAATAAATTTTTGAGAAAATATTGATTTTTAATCCTCACATTTTCTAAAGCCTTGATCTTGTCTTGGGCACCACCTTTGCCTCCTGAAATAATGGCACCAGCATGTCCCATCCGCCTTCCAGGGGGAGCTGTTAATCCAGCAATGAATGAAACAACAGGCTTAGCATTGCTTCCCTAGAATAAAAAGCATACAATGTGTTTAAAAAACTCACAAAACGAAAGAAATGACCGAGTAAGTTAAATTACTGGGCATTTTTTTTTAAAATCTGGATTTGGGATGAGAAAGACATTTCCTTGTTTTGTCTCAGGTACATGTTCATAGTAGAATAAATTATTTTTCTTCTTAGTGTGTATCGGAAATGACAGAAAGAAACCATGAAAGTATAATTTTTTATTTAAAACATTACTTTTTTGAAAAACTGTTGTTAAATGAAACAGACGATGTAATGTCTTGCGACGACAGAAAAAAAAAGAGATACAGAACTCTTAAAATTGAAATAAAAATATTCAGCTGGGCATTCATTTTATCACCTCTACGTTAAAGTAAACTCATGCATACTCGTAGAATTATATTAGAAGCACTATTTGATGAGAAAATTGAATTTTCAAAGATTTTCTGAAAATGCATTTCCAAAATGTTCATGATGCCATTAGTGTAGCTCTTTTTAAGTTTCTGGGGTTAGCTTCTTCGATGAAACATTGAGGGAAAGAATGGGAGCCTTCTTGAATGGGTTTGAGAATTTTCTTACACATAGCACTCCAAATAATTAAACCCTTATGATACTTCATGTTGTCAAAAAGTAATGCCGACGACAAAAAAAAAATGCTGTATTGCCTTTCGCAGGCACATTTAGCCAATGATAAATTTGGGTCTGAAAAAGTTAGCTACCTCCCAAAACTTGATCAGAAAAACTAGATCATTTCCCTTATCCTGTAATCTTAACTTCACACTTCATTACTGCAGGCCCCCACAGATAACCTGCATGGATTTTTCACAAGTAAAATTCTGGAAAAAAATTGAATAATATTAAAAAACTTACAGAATTGTGTTCTAGTAAATATTCGGCAGCCTTCTCTTCAGCAACACCACCGATTTCTCCAATAAGAATGATACCCTTGGTCTCAGGGTCGTGCAGGAAGACTTCTAAACAGTCGATGAAATCTGTGCCGTTGAATGGATCTCCTCCGATTCCCACGCACAAAGTTTGACCAAGTCCAACCTAGGAGAGAGACAAAGTATGATCAGTACCCAACATGGAACTAATGACGCGGTATAAATCGGATATTATTTTCATTCGATAGAAAAAGACGGGTTGTTTTCGTGAATACATTGTCTGCCAGTGTTTGAAACACACGCCGGCCAAACAGCAATTTGCCGGTAAGAAATCGTCTTTTGCCACTAAGAAATAAAACAAGCGGCCAAGCCTTGGCCACTGAAAAAACCCTTGTTAAACTCCGTTATTGGGATTTTTTGGCGGGTTCCTGACTCAAAGCATTTCGAAAGGGCAATTTTTCATTTTGGCCCCTAAGAAAAAAAGTTGCAGGCCAGATGGGTGCTAAGAATACGTGCCAAGTTTCAAACACTATTGTCTACTTAGTTGCTTTGCAACTGCAGTTTTAATGAAGCTGTAATTTAGATCTTGTGCAATTGCTCATCATTATTACATAACTTAAATGGGTGAAAATAACTGCAAGAAACATCAAAAACAAATTATGTCAAATTGACCACCAATAATGGATCTATCCTATTGGACCAAAACAGGTTTAAACTAGACTCGCGTTTCTTCCCAAATGAGTCCACATACTTAGGTGAGAACTTTTCAAATGAAAAACCAAATTATTTAGCACATCAAAATAAGTTATACGCCACAGTTTCGAAGCGCTCCTTCAAACTGAATTTCCTGGAGAGCTCCGAATAGGAACTGAAATCTCGACCTTTAAACCACTTTTGGGGAGTCTCTAAAATTTTGGCTTAAACCCAACTGACTCCTAAACAAGATCTATGTTTTCTCTTCAAAATCTTATTTAAGTACCTAGCAAGCAAGTCACAGGAACCAGTTCGGAAATCAACTTTAGCATGCGTGTTCTTTTATAAGGGAGTAAAAACGGCAAAGTTGCACGATTTTGACAATACCACATGGACATGTGCTTTTTCTGAAATTGGTCAACCATGAGGAGTGATGTTCGAGTTCTAATTAACAAAAAACTTAGCTCACCTGTGTGGTTTGGTGGACAGCTTCATAGGTCAGAGTTCCTGATCTTGATACAACACCAACAACTCCTCTTTGGTGAATGTGACCCGGCATGATCCCAATTTTGCACTGAAATTTCGGAAATTATTTTAATGCTTAAACATTTAGTTATACAGGAAGAATTCGACTGTACAAAAATTAAACTGCGCAATCATAGACAAGTACTTTCTTACCAACAGATACAAGTGAAAATAAATAAAACAAAATAATCTAGTGATAAATTACCTTACAAAGTACTGAGTGGGGAGCTAAGTTCCGGAGTCAACTTTGATTTCTCTCTTTACAGGGTTTCCAAAATTCCTTCATTTTTCGATTTTCAGACATCCCCTAACTTTCGTACAAAATTTCTTTTTGCGAACAGATTTGTTTCATTTCCATTACGCTGACTTCAGTCAAACGCTTCTTGTTAATTTTCCTGACTTATCTTATTGATTTCCTGACTTTTCCAGGTAACACCTGATTCCCTGTCTTTCCAGGTTTTCCAGGCTGCTGGAAATTCTGCTTGAATTACTTTGAGATTATTTACACCATTCAATTTTGTTTGATTCACCAAGCTCAAAGTAACATAAAATGCAATAATTAATTTTACTTGCATTTATTTTTCAGCGCTTAAAATTAAAGATGATGATTAGTGCAAACGCACCTGGTCTGGGGCGATGATTCCAGGACAATTGGGGCCAATCAATCGGGATTTGTTTTGTTCGACAAGCCGCCGTTTCACTTTGACCATATCTTGTTGAGGAATACCTTCGGTGATGCAAACAATCAGAGGCATTTCAGCATCCAAGGCTTCAAAAATAGCTTTTGCAGCACCAGGTGGAGGAACGTAGATCACAGTGGCTTCAGCTCCGGTTGCATCTTTGGCCTAAAATAATAACACCGAAATATAAATGACTTTTCAAACATTCTTTATATGAGAGAACTTTATCAAAAATTATTGAGACCCTTAGAAAAAAGCACCTTTGTACCAATTATTAATTTTGAAAATAATTAGGTCTAAGACACATTGACAGAGTAATTCCCAAACCACATATCTCCGTTTGCGACATTGCAGACTTTCTGTTATAGTTACTTTAACTTTTAAATGAAAAACTATTCAACATCAATTTTTAAAAACTTCTGTGATTTTTCCCATTTTGGTTCAACCGATCATCGACAAAAATACGCTTACAGTGTCAAATAACAATCCTTTCCTGGTCAAATGCATGGTCTATTCATATATTCTCATTCCTCATGTACAATTGACCTGTTCATCAAAGTCAGAAAAGACAAAAAAATAATTTAAGCCACATGTCGCAGCTGGCAATACCTTCTTACTTTTTGCTGCTAGGAGCCAAAAATGGCCTCGGTTTTTTTTCATCATCCATTACTTTTCTTATCCCAAAAGAATGCATTGATTAAATGCACCTATTTTTGGCACCTAAAAAAGGCATCAGATGTCCAGGGATTTTTAAAATAATTTTTTTTTCAGTGGTGGGGCGTGAATGATGGATTACCGATATTGCCCCATTTGAAGATGTGGCAAAGAATCAATTATTAAAATGTTTGTTGTGAACGCACTATCTATCGATCCTTTCCCATAGGTTTAAATGGCAGATCAATCAATTTATCGCAAAGCACCCCATGCCACTGTGTTGCATACTTATTAATAATCGGTAAAAAAATCAATAAGTACCTCTTTGACGGAGTTGAAAACTGGCAAATCGAGATGAGTTTTGCCTCCTTTGCCGGGCGAGACACCTCCAACCATGTTCGTTCCATATTCGATGGCTTGCTTGCTGTGGAACGTACCTTGCTTTCCAGTGAAACCTTGGCAGATTACTTTTGTTTTGCTGGTCAGTTTAAGGTTGGGTCTAGTTTGAGAGTACACATTGCTACTAGCTCTTGCATTATTTAAAGAAACTGCAACATACAAAATTAATTTCATTGAAAAAGACTGCTTCCATCTTTATCCTTTCTTTGCTTGAAAAGTCCCATATATTTGATTTTAAATCTACATTGTGTGTCTTGTATTTGACGCATGACTTCGCAGGAAAATTAAATTTAATTGACACATTCTGTTGAATTTTTCCTCAGAAAATGTTTTAAAACCAAAATATGTTTACATTTTATTTCTACAGACTTTCGTCTTAGAGCTTGACTAATGAGTTCTGGGACAGAAAGGTACAAATTAACATTGACACTGGATGATCATACAATTTAAATACATAAAATACTAAGCTGTGCTGATTCAAGGCTGATAAGGGTTTTAATTTTGCCCCATAATACAGTGAGCTAGCTCTAGCCTTTTACAACATCTTTCCATCTGAGACACTTGGCTGAATTAGCCTCCTGTTTTCTCGTGGGTAAGCTTAACATTTATTTGAAGTGAGAAAAATTTTCTCTATTACCACCCTTTTGGAGAAATCCATACAATACAGCTACTGTTGGTGTAGGTAAAAACTTCCAATCAAAGCTATTGAGAAATTTTGTAGCTTTATTCAAAACAGAAGCTTGATCAGCTAGGAAAGGTTCAAAGTTCAACTTCACAACAGTTGAGCAACAGAATGGAGGAAGATAAGATATAAACAGCGTTGTGTAAACAGAGATGTAGTCCATTATGCAGGTGATAAAAAACAACTACTTTGTCGGAGGAAAAGGAGATATGATGTGCACCGAAGGGTGATCAAATAGACTGGTCTGATGCCTGGTAATGACCATGAGAAGTGAAAGACACACTGGGCCTGGGAGAAATAAGTCCAAAGCAAACCAGGACATATGGTGAAAGATAGACCGTGGCCCAGGTGATTCACTGAAATTCAAAGCCTGTCAATGTCCTAGAGCGGCTATTTGAAGTTTATCAAGTGTGGTAAAAATAAAAATGTATCGACTAGCCTAAGGTCAAACATCAAGGATCGCAGCCAACAATCCTGAGGCAACTACACTAGAAGGGAGTCAGGGAAAATTACATTGGTACGAAGATGTAAAATTTTCAGGGAATTACTCAGGCTCTTGAAGTTATGGAGCCGACAGGCGAAGGGGGAAAAAAATGCGCAAAGTGTGATTTCCGCTTGGGATAGGTAAGTAAGGTTAGTCACGAAGGGTAAATAAATCATAACCAGCCCCAAAACTGATAAGCCCTCAAGAGGAGCAGCAGACACGAAAATCAAGGGGGCATCGGGGCAAATAACGAAGAGGTTTGTTGACGAGTTGGAGAATGTCAAATTACATGACTTGACATTAAATAAAGGGGTGACGGGACAATTACTCACCCACAAATCGTGCGAAAACTCTGGAGGAGGCTGCCATTGTAACAGAACGAGTATTCAACTAAAATAGGAGACGTGAAGGTGAAAATTACTTAGCACGGAGGGAGGGATAAAACTGCCGGCGGATAATTATAATACTTCGGCTGTAGAACTAAAGAAACTCCACGATTTGTCTTCGCAACATTGAAACAAGGGTCGAAGGTTTCAATCCGCGAACGAAAAGAACGAAAAAATTTCCACCAAAATAAATATAGGTTATTTTCAGTGCTACCACAATTTTCACAGGGCGCCAACTTCATCGATTTGCCCGCCTAGTTATGAAAAAAGCTTATCAATATTGTGAGAGGTGATAAGGTAATTGATTACACTTTGTCGTGGTGCCGTGGTTTGAGGCAATGAGATCCGAGCATTTTTTTGCACTCTCATTAAAGTTTTAGAGAAAAGTAAAAAATTAAATGGCTCTAAAAAAAGATTATCCCGATACGAATGTGAAGAAGACGACGCCTTGAAAGCCGGCAAAAAAATACTGATTGTAGGATAAGTTGCATGCATGCGATTTGAAGGCACTTTGGATTTTACGACGATTTTAATTATTTTATTCTTATTTATTATTGGTGCATACTTGCTATAATCGCAATGATGATTATTTACTTAGGCTCAAGAAAAATAAGAACTATTGACGGTGTACATGTACCTAATCTGACGTTTTTTATTTCTTTTTTCTTCCTATTCAGAACTATAAAACTATACTCAATTTCACTACATTTAGAAATTAGGAACCACTTTATCTAGCCCATACATAAAAGCACCTACCCGTACAGGGATATTAGTGGCACATAATAAGCTGTTTCCAAAAAAAACTAGACTGATAAAGATGGTTACATTTTTCAGTGTGTCAACTTTTGCAAGGAAGGAACAGGAGCGTGCTACTTCCTTCACAGAATTTTTAGCACAGATAAATCAATTTATGTGACCAAATCTGTAGAGAGGGACCTGATCTTCCAGGAAAAAATATTTCCTGACTTTTTACAAATGCAAAGAGAAAGAGCGTCTGGTAATCAGGGCCGGATTTACCTACTTGCCGCCCGTGGGCCGCCTGTATTATTTGCCGCTCCCTTTTCATTCGTTTTGAGACATCAATAAAAACCTTCAAGTGAACATGCCGGAGGGGGAGGGGAGGGTTGCATAAGACGCGTGAAATCGTAATGGACACATTTTTTGCGAAAGACCTGTCAACACTACTAGCTAAAGTTCACGGAACTTTGCGCGAAAGTTGAGTCTCGTAAACCTATCGCTGTGTGGACAACGCCTTCCATTTATAAGAAATGAACGAAAAAATTATGAAAGAACAAACATAAATGAGGTTTAATAATCTTAACCTCCGCCGCCGCGCCGCGCCGCGCTGACCTCACTGTGTTTTGCGCAATGCGTGAAGTATTCCTACAGTCTTGTAGGCGCTATGCGTCTCACGCTGACCACTGCGGACCGCACTGGGTTTGACGCAATGCGTGAAGTATTCATGCAGTTTTGAAGGCGCTAATATGTATTACGTGCCGACTGCCGCGTCGAGGGCTTCTCCTCTTCAGGTGAAGTCTTCGTTACCATTGCCCTCTGCGGCGCGCCGTTCCAGGCCAAATTGCGTGTTTGGTTTCTCTCTTAACTCGACTGAATGAAGGTCCTGTTTCTTGTATCACCGAAAGACGACAAAATTAGAAATTATCATACCTTTACTCTCAGGAAATGAGAGACTTTATGGCCTTTTCTACTTCATAAATTTTTTTCTGAATCCGAATTTTTTTTATACCTTTATCTGAAAAAATTTCAAAATTTGCCGCCCCCTAAATCCGGCCCTGCTGGTAATATTGGCGCAAGTTTAAATCTATAAACTCAATAATTGAAGAGGATGGTCCTGAGGTTCCAAGACTAAAATTCTTAGATTGAAGAAAAGCGTGGTTTAGGTAAGTGTTTACAAACAGTTCAGGAAAATTTTCTCCTAGGAGATAGGGTCCTTGTCCATGGATTCGGTAACATATCTTCTAGGAAGAATTAGTGTTACCACACGTTCCTTTCTGAGCGCGTCCGCATACCCAAAAAAAAAAAAAAGACTTCTTTTTGACGTGACCATACGGTGATCAAATTTAAAGAAACCATGACTTGTTGAAAAATCGCAGTGTGTCTACTAGGATACAGTAATTACACACTCTGTAATTTGAAGTCCTTCAATTCAAAAACCTCAATAATAGGTACTAAGAGAAATTCTGTCCATTTGAAAAAGTCTCCATATTTGGAGACAAACCAATGTATATGTTGCCCCTCTTAAATTTCAAATTCTTGAACCCCGATCAGCGGGTAAATTAGCTCTGTACAGCTACATAATTCGAAAATTTGCAACAGTATAGCAATTTTGAAATTAGGATTGCATTGCAGTCATCGCATGCTCTGCAATTTGAACTGGCAAAGGCGGATGCTCTATAATAATTAAAACAAATATTGATGGCTTCGTTATGATTCAAATTGGTGAGATCAGGAAACAAATACGAGAAATCGTATTTAATTGAGGAGTAAAAAATAACAATCACCATGCGCAGTTATAAAGTTACACTATGTTTATTCATATTAGGTACATTCATAGCATTTGACACATCAGAGGGAAAAGAAACAAAATATGATGGGACAAAGAATCTTCATTTGTCTTCTTGAAAAGGTGAGGTCTCTAAAAATAGTCATCAAAAGTTAGCACAACCATTCTTAAAACCCATCTTCCTCTCAGTAAACAACTTAACTTAACCATCAGTGCTTTCCTGCTTGCACTATGGGGTTCATTTATAGATAAGATCAATGTGTAATTTACTAATTAGGAGTAATAAAAATTAAAACATTGGAGAAAAAATGAAATTCACACAAAACCGATCACATTGTTGCTAAATAGTATTGAAAAAACAACACTTTTCCCCCATTCAAAGCCACGAAAAATATCCACATTGAATTGCAAAATCTGGCAACCTTGACTGACCATCTCAGGTGGCTCTAGGCAGATTTTTCATACCAATGATTAGCTACAGGACATTCAAAATCGTAAATGTAGAAATCAATTTACATTGGCTTTGAAAATGAAACACATTTCAATGCAACATTAAAAATCAGTCGGGAGACTGTAATAATTGGATACAACGTATGTTTACACTCGAAATGCATGGCCCTGTGTGTTGACATTGCTTGTAAAGTGGGGCTGATTAAGGTGAAAAGAGTAAAATAAATGTAAAGTGTTGCTAACACCATCTGAAAATCTGCACCTGGCGGGCAATGGCTATTGAGCACTGAAAGTGTAAAAAGTAACTAAAATTTTAATATTGCATTCTTGTTATCACAGACTAATGAGGCAACATTTCTAAAAGAAAAAAAAAAACTTGAACATTGGACAGTAGTTTTGAAAAAAATTACAAGTGTAAAAGAAAATAGGAAATAAAAAAAAAAGTTCAATTCCCACATCTTTCGCAAGAAGATTGTTTTTTTCCCTTCTTTGTTACTTCTTACAAAAAGAACTTTACAAATCTAATGGGTTTATTTAAATGCATATTAGAAATTCGAAGCTTTTTTTAAAAAATTACTGCGATACTGTTCAATTAATGTAAAAAAAGAGGGGGAAAGAACAACAATTGTAGGAAATTTTACGTACCTACTTATTGAAACTGAGCCTCTAGCAGTCTACAGTTTTTACGAACATCAGAACATACTTAAGGCAAGGTCTATGTTCAAGACCATGATTACTAGGCCTTGAAATTTATTGATAAAATACTTTGCACCCTCTGTTGCAAGTCCCAGCCAGAGGAAGAAGAAAAAAATGTCCGGGATTTCTACTCGGAGGGAGAGGGGTTAAAGTAGACAAGTAGAAAATCAGACTGTTGACTTAGCACAAAACCTGGCAAAATAAATTTTGATGGAAAATGAGACAGAATATCAATCATAAGAAATCTACCGTGATTGAATTATAGCTCTAGGGGTATTGATTGATTGACAATACTTTAACATTCCTTAACTTAAATGCAATCATACCCTATTTGTATCCAAAAGTTTTTAATACCAAAAAGATAAATGCCAGAATATCATCAAAACATTACTAACCACAGAACTACAAAAAATGGTTGTACAGTGCTTGATCCAAGGACTAAGTTGGGGGTTAAGACTTAAATTTTGCAAATTTGATCTTTTTTGGGCCATTCGACATTAACGTTAATGTTTTTTTTATTTTTTAAAAAGTTTTAAAAGTCTTCTTCCAATTGAGATCACCCCTCTAACTGCATACCATCAGCTTAAGCTTACTCGCTGTAGCAAACTGTACCCTACACAAGAATGGTTCTTTGTTACGTATCACTCGCTGAAAGAATTCAGCACCTCTTTTTTACGTTTAAAGAATTTTCAGTACTGTCCTACAAGATGAACAAGTTTCAGAGCTTGTAACACTCAAAATACTGTTCAAAAAGATGCGTACATAATTTTTAGAGGGTTCTAAAATTAGACTAATCGACCAAGGTGACAGCTCTGATGGAAATCCTTTCACATGATGTAAACACAATTGAAAATATATACACCTTAAATATATAAGTTTATACGATAAATGATATTATATACAATGTCCCCAAAAATATTCAAGACAGTTGATAATAGTGGGTAACGAGAGGCTTCAACATTCTGGGCTACTTGCGTTCATATTGAATGCTGTAACAACCTTACTGATACTGCTACAAGGTTTCTATGAAAGACTAATTATATTTTTCAAATTTCGAAGAATAGGCATTATTTGAAAGGCAGTTTTGCTTCAGTCTGAGTGGACTTCATGGAAGGGAAAAATGAGCTGCAAACGACCATTCAAATTCTTGAAAATATTTTACAGATACGTGTACTAAAGAATCTTGTCTTCTGTAAAGAATTCGCACTTTGTCTAGTGGTCCACTGTCCCTCATTTAAAACTACGAGAATGAAAAATACAAAGAAGCAACAAACTCAATGTTCACCATTGCAGCTCACTATTTACAAAGATCACAGCTGATCTGAAATTTTTCATACCTTGAAAATTTGTTACATTTATAATTCAATTCAATGATAAAATAAATCTCTTCATAGCAATGAAAATACATCAGAATTTTTTTTTACCACTCAACTATTCAATATCCAATGAATCCTAGCATTCTTCAATGAAAAAAATGAGGAAAATGGATACAATTGAAAAAAATTAAAGCTCTTACATTTACTACAAAATTATTTATAGTCAAAAGTTGCTGCATAACATAAAAGGCACATGCTAAAGGCAGCGGTTGATACAAAGTTCCAACGGAAAAGGGTATGTTTTTTACTTTTAAAATAGATATAAAACTACTCTGAATTTTTTAACCCCTGAATGGTTCAATGCATATTGGGAGGCCAAAGACTGGTAACTACAGGGTTTATAAAAAACGCTACATAATTATTCTAAATTAACAAATGGACGGATATTCTTTCGTTTAGGACGTTTAGAAATTTCATTTTTGCTTTTAAATTTGATTTTACTTGATGCTAAATCAAATTCACTTTTCACGCTTTTACGAAAAAGAAAATTACTTCCAGAAATTAAAAGAGAAGGCCGTTAAAAAACATTGAGTCTCATTTTTCGATTGATTAAAAAAGGAGAAATACCGACTGTAAAAAATATTCGGTCAAAGAAAAACCGTTCTTGGCTTACATTTTGATCCCAAAATTTACGGACGACTTGCTTAAAGCAATTTTTTTCTATTTGAACAAATCTGATTTAAAATGAACCGGAGATTTTTAAACATTGTAATTGAGAAGCGCATGTTTCTCAATTAGGCACCGATATGTTATGTACCTAAATGGTAATTTATACATTAAAAGCTGGCCTTACAAATTTTTGAAACATAATTTGAAAAATAAAAGACAGGTTATGCAATGCAACCCTCATAACATAAAAGCATGAAATTTCATGCTATCATGAGTTTATAATTTTGATTTCTATTTCGAACTTGATGTGCCCAAACTTAGCATCGCACTAAAGCACTGTAGATTGGCAGACAGGTTGAGAAACTTAAAAAATTATAAAACAATGATTACAAATAAAGAGATGAGAATGATGATGGCTTGTATGGTACAGATATGAACTATGATACCTACGAAAACTAAAAAACGAAAGTCGAACCTACAGGTGGATCAATGGATCATCACACAAGTCCTGGAAACAAAAGTAGTGTAAAACCTTGGAAAGTGAAGACCTGATAATGGTGATAACAGAAAAAAAATTTGAATGCTGGCTGAATAATATTCACCTGGATTTTTTTTTTTTATTCCTTCAAGGATCATAAAGTACAGTGAAATCTAGTCATAACAAAACCTGCTTATTGGGATTTTCCTTAGAGGCCTGCTTGAAAAATTCCTCTGTCCTGTTAGATTGGTGATGCCACATTAAAACTTTTCCTTTTTATCAAATTGGATCTAAACAATCACAATACCTAATATAACCTTTCTAAATGTTATATATCACTTTATTGTGATGTGACATTAATTTATAGCGTCCGGGGTGCGGAAAATTCTTGAGCAAGAAAATCGCGCTTTGCGCAGAGATATCCATGCACTTGCAAGGAAATTTTCTTATGAAGAGGATGATTCTTGAAGTTTTTTGTTTTGTCATCCCTCTTTCTAGTTTTTCCATTTTAAGCAAAAAATGAGAAGGTAATGGAAAAGCGCACTGATTTCTGAAATTTTTTGCTTGATGCTTTCTCTCAACATTTTAGGGAAAAGAGGGAATTATTCATGAGAAAGGAAAGTTTAAGGCTGAAATTTTGACTGATTTTCGCCCCAGAGAACTTTCAGCGACCCTGATAGCGTATATGGCCAGGTTACACTACTTTGGACGATTCGGTGAGACAGTGGCGACTCATGAAAGTTGGCAACACTGATCTTCGTCCAAATAAACGCATGTAAATAAATCGATCGATCGTTTCGATTTTAACCAGATCCTAACTGAATTTCACGTTGCCTAACTTCTGCTTATGTTTCATTTTTTTTTAACAGGAAAAAAACACAACATAACGCCTTGAAACTTCGCCCGAGATTTCCTTAAATTTTGAAAAAAATCTTGCAAAATTTCAAGTAAGAATGTTTAGTTTTCCGGTGGACAAAAAAATAACGCGAGAGGAAATTCGGCGATGTGTAATGTACTTCCGTGCTAAAAACGCCTTATGAACCATTGGGCGTTGTCTGATTTCGTTGGATGAAACACGAATTTTCATGAAAACTGTTGAATATTTTCCTTCCAATTTTTCAGATAATTCGTGTCGTATTTGAATCTAAAATATCTGAAAATTTTGACGAGAAATATGGAAATCTTTTTCCAAAAATAAACGCATTTTACCGTAAAAAATTTGGCTAAGTCCAAAAGCTCATAAGGTGTTTCACCTTCGCACGGCAGTGGAATTGAGCAGATCTTGGTTAAATTAATCCATTATTTGGACATCGTTCTGCAATTAGGAGCTACAATTTCTGGCTTAGTTCAGAAACAACGAATGTAACATTAGTTAGCCTACACACATAAGTGTTTTTACAGTGTTTCTTTAATTTAGAAACCACATATGTAACATTAATTGGATTGCATTACGCAAAAAGGAACCAGGAGAACCGCCGTGTTGCTAAGATTGTGCAACTTCACTCTAGCCGTAAAACTCCTGTAATCGTGCAAAAATATGACAATTACTTGGACATTTTTGTCTTAGATTCACAGGTTTTAGCGTGTAAAATAGACAATTTTTAAAGATGATCAGGTTTATCCTCCAAGACAAAAGAGGTTACACAATCTTAGCAACATTTCAATGCTCTTGGTTCCTTTTTGCAAAATGCAATCCAATTTGCCTGTACACGTAAGTGTTTTAAGAAATGAGCCAGAATTTGTAGTTCCCAATAGCAAAATGTAGTCCTTTTACTGAATACGGAGGAAAATCAGGGTTGCCAGCAGCGGGCCGATTATTGAAACTGATAGACAAAGCGATAGACAAAGAAGACATAGGGAGTATAGAGCGATCCTATTGGTTGACATGGTTGGTTCTTATAGACTAAGGAAGAAAATGATGGACTAACTGTCGGGTCTTTGGTGGGTTGCCGTTAGTTAGTCCATTACCTATGCTTCCTATGTCCATTGCCACCACCCGCTTCCACCAATAGGATCCCTCCAAATCCCTTTTGTCGTCTTTGTCTACAGCTTTGTCTATCAGTTTCAATAATCGGCCTGCTGGTCAGAGTAGTCATCGCGATGGGAGGGTTTAACAATACGACGTGGGAAACTTTCTACGAGCTAAATCATATGGCTAACAAATGAAATGATACAGATATCGGAACATAGAGCGTTACAGCTTCTGGATGATCTCGTGCTTTTTCTTGATATCTAGGCTGTCCTTCTTCGGGTCATACTTCTCTCGGGCTGCCAGCTTGGCGCGCAGCTCCTTCGCCGACATGTTCAGGTTGAGAGTCGTCGATTCCACGCTGTTCGTCGTCGTCTCGCTCGAATTTTGATTCCCCGATATCTGTAACAGAGAGGAAATTCGATTAGGAAATGAGAGCAGGACAAGAAGGTTGAAAAATTGGCAGGGCTCATGAATCACACTTATATCACACTAACATCTGGGTGATATCACGCTAACATCGGGGTGATATCACACTAATATCTGGGTGATATCACACTGAAAAAATAAAGTTCCGAGCTATATAGACATACCGTCCGTTCCGGGCTGAGAGACCGAAAGTTCACTGAAAAAAAATTCTCGGCGTTTTTACCAAGGTCCGTTGGTACCTTTACCATCTCACTTTTTTTACCAATTACTGGTAATTTTACCGAGACAGACTAGTAAGCTTACCTAAAAACCGGTATTTTTACTGTTTTTTTTTCAGGTAAGAATACCAATTTTATTGGTAATCAATTCCCGGCAACTTTGCCATTTTATCCCGGTAATTCTACCACAGTCGATAAAAAATATTGGCGTTTGTACCAAGGTCCAGTAAAATTACCGAGAAAATTCAATATTTTTACCGAGATTTCTCGGTAAAATTACCAATTCCATAAATGGTAATTTTACCAAGAAAAAACTGGGATTAAATAGAACCCTGAATTCTTGATAATTTTACCCTTTTCTTCGTAAATACACCGAGATTTTTTTTTTCAGTGTAACATCGGGGTGATATCACACTGAAAAAATAAAGTTCCGAGCTATATAGACATACCATCCGTTCCGGGCTGAGAGACCGAAAGTTCCGGGTGTAGCATCCAGAGCAGTCAAAGCTACGGCTCCAGCATCCGGAACTTTTGGCCTCTGAGCCCGTTATGTCGTTATACCGTGACGTTATATCTATATACTGCCATGCTGAGGGAATAACGTGTGATCAATCACAATTAGCTCAAATCATTAAATTTTCTGTGTCAAGAGTATTAGTGGTAATTAGAAGTATCGCCCTTGTTGTCAACGAATGACAACATCTACGCGATGCTCATGAACGACGATTCCTACGTTAGTGATACTGCCGTGCTACGCTTCCGTACTAAGGAAGAACGCCGTATGAACCTTCAGACGTTGCCACATTTCCTTCAATAAAGACCTAATTTACTGGGAAAATTGTGAATGTTTTTCTTCAATTGTTTTCAGACAATTTTGTTCACAATTTTGTTTAAAATGTTTGAAAATTTCAAGGAAAAATACGTATAATCTTTCTCAAAAACACATATTTTATCCGGGGCGATTTGGCAACTGTCGAATGTTCATACGGCGTTCTTCCTTAGCACGGCAGTACGGAAACCTCGTATGAGCATTCGAATGCTGCCAAATTTCATCTTGGAAAATATTCATTTTTGAAGAGAGTTGCGAATATTTCCCTTGAAATTTTCAGACATTTTGCATCCAATTACAAAAAAAAATTATCTGAAAAATTGGAAGAAAAATATACACAAAAATTCCCAAAAATCAGTGATTTGTCTAAGGAAATTTGGCAACGTCTAATTTTAAATACTCATACGGCGTTCTTCTTTAGCACGGCAGAGTAAGCTCAAAGCTTTGAGTTTGGACGGAGTTCATTATTACTTGGTTGATCTGTACTCGGTGCGATTTGACCGTGGGGACATAATTCTGTGACGCGCGCGCAGGTCGCATAATTGGCGAAAATATATCCTGATTTTGAAACGGGAGAGGAAAACGGTTGGGCTTCGCACACGAGCGCGAACAAATCACCGCTGATAAATGCGTTTATCGCCTGAGCTTCAATAGGCGGGATTGTCAATTTTTATCACTCGTCGAACGGCACGACTGAGAATGAGATGGGGAAAATTCCGTGCGCGGAAGTGAAGTTGTCAAATGCCAACCGACATACTGCCCTGCTCCGAGAGACCACAGTATATGAAGAAAAGTGAGCAAAGAAAATCTGACACTCGTCAGTTCTAGCAGCATTACAGGGTGTCTACTAAAACAGGCTGGCCAAAAATTATTACTTTTACAGTAGTTTTCAGCCCATTCCCGAGAAATTCAGTACCAAGGTGGAGAAATGGTGGTGGGTCCTCACCGTTTCGCGAGGAAAATAAAGCCAAGAAATTCCAAAAAAAAATTTCAGTTATAGTCAAAAATTCTTTCTTGGGTCTAATGAGTATAAGTACAAAGGCTGATTCAGACATTTGGCGCCATTTTTTAGTGATTTTTTCCCATCGAAATTCAACACTGTTTCAGTGCCTCCATTTGGTGAAATTCGAAAAATGTCAAACACTAATTTGAATTTTTCTCTTAAATTGCGACAAAAATGACGTAGACACAAAATTTCATTGGTGGCTTGAAGAATAACTGGCTGCAAAATCGCAATCTTGCCGGCAAATGAGAAACAACGCGCAAAGATTGCATTCTTTCTACGCTTTATTAAAAAAACGAGCGTTGTATGAATGAAAAAATTCCGGACCTTATTGCAAAATTTCTGCACTTTTTCAGTGCTTCCGGTCCCTTAAAAATCAGCAATATTTCTGGACTTACTGGAAATTCCGGACTGGTGGATGCCCTGAGAATATCACTATGGACTACGTAAAACCGAAAACGCGCTTTAAAAATTGAGGACTGAGGGTTGACCCCAGTTTCTCTTATAGGACACCCATCAGTGGCGTGGCGTGAATGATCGATTATCGATATCTCGCCATTTGAAGCTATGGTAAAGAATCGATTATTAAGGCGTTCGCTGCGAACACCCTGATAATCGATCTTTTTTCATAGGTTTAAATGACAGATCAATCGATACATCGCAAAGCACGTCACGCCACTGACACCCATAAAAGCGAGAGGGATATATCATCTCATGGTGTGAGAGGGATTCTGCTATTGCTGAGCGCGTATCCTCGAGAATAGTTGGATCGAGGTCATTTCATTTGACCCTACTTTCTTCTCGACTCAATTTTTGGAGCTTTGGAGATGCTGCGACATTTCATTTGTCAGGGGTGTCAACAGAAAACAGAATGATCTAACTACAACTTATGACTCTTCAATCTTCATAGAACTCTTTCTAACTTTCGTATTGACTCAGTACGAACTTGGCAATCACAAGTCCTAGCATTCGTAATTAGTAACGTTTAGCATACACTGTATCGCCTGGCTGATGCTTAAATCGAGAATAAAAGGCTATAAGAAATTGTGTAGCCGGCTATAGAAAGTATTGGAAATCTTACAGCCGGCTGTAGGTCTACGGTATTTTGGAACACAGATTCTACTGCAAATTTTTACCAGGGCATTCGAGAGTTGTCGAGTTTCCTTCAATAAAATATTTATTTGAGAGAAGTATTACGAATACTTTTTGTTGACATTTTCAGATGATTTATATGTGATCACGAATAAAATTCTCTGAAAATTTTGAAGATAAAATTCACAAATTTCCCTGTGAGTTCATATTTTATCGAAGGAAATTTGGCAATGTCTGAAGGCTCAACGACAATTCGTCACCTTCGAGCCAAAGTATCACAAGCGCCATGCGACTTTTCAAGATTTCCGCCGCCATTTTATTTTTTCACAGGAAATTGTTCAACGAAGCTGTCCGACAATTTCACTGAATTTTCTTGGTGTTGCCGATAAAATTCAGTGAAATTTTCAAACAGATCCAACCAACAATTTCTCTGTAAAAAAATGAAAAGGCGGCGGAAATTTTGAAACGTCACATAGCACTTATTGTGATGCTTGGGCTGGAAGGTGACGAATTGTAGGGAGGGCTTGTAGACACTAGACAGAGACACCCTGGTATATCTAACGTCAGTATCTGAAGCACTCTATTTTAATCCTGTGATCATGCACCTCTTGAAAATTATCTCACATGTTGCCAAATTGTCATCGGTCTGTGGGAACCCATCTTTCGCGGTCTTCGCATACTGAAACAATCACGTTTCCTATTTCATTGCCTTCCACGTCACCTATTGGATCGATGCAAGGGTAATTGATAGGGTAGGTCCGATAATGCATAGGATCTATATGGAGATAACAGAAAAATTCCACAGTTTTTTTTTTTATGGAGTAGCGGCACTGACGAGCCGGATCCTTGACATTTTTTTGACCGCACCCTCTGTTTTTATGACCGACAATCGCGCGAAGACTCAGATCGCGGAATGCATTGGATTGTCTGTGTTGATATAGTCTGCTCCGCCCCCCTCATCAATCTTGCCGGTGTTTCCCTGCATAACGATGGAAGAGAAGTAAGAACGAATGTACAGAATTTGGAGGTGCTGCGTATTGTTTAATCCATGCCGCGAGGAAACCAGGATCAAATAGAAAATACAAAATACAATACAAAAGAAAATGAATCAGTCTATGTTGAAACCCGACACAAGATGCGATTTTTCTTGGATTTCAAAATTACCTAACTGACTTTTTCCGGGCTCTCCAGCGACTGAGAATTTAAAATTTTTTGACTTTTCATTTCTTTTTTTTTAATAATTATAATATTTTTCACGAAGATTTTTATTAAGCGCGACGCCTCTTCAAACTGAACGATGCATGTTTCTGGCCGGAGGAAAAATTTCAAGGCTCTGTAGCAAAGTTTTCTAACTAATCAGGGTTGGTCAAAATTCCCTGACATTTGGTCCAGATTTTCCTTGATTTATCAACCCTGTAACATATACTTAGAATTAAAAAATGAGTTTCTTGCAGTTACTCCTCAGCGAGGATTTATTCCGACGGCGTAGAGATTACGAACAACGTCAAAAAACTCTGAAATGTATTTGTAAACAAAAATCACCTTTAAACCTATCGTGTCCAAAGTTAAAAATAAAATTACCCTTAACTTTGACCCGATACTTGTATTCTGTGTGGAGGTATGGTTTCAATACCGAAGGTGCAGCCACATGCTAAAAAATGGACATCGAGTTGAATACGAGGGCGAGCAGCTACATATTGGTAAAAAGTCTCTTTTCTACCTTTACAAGCTTTCAAGGGATATCTGAGTGTTTGTTCAGTAGTGCATTATGTGACGAAATTCGAGCATATAAATAAACCGAGAAACTACTGCTTCTTCTTGCCTGTCTCTC